TACAAATGAGTGAAAACAAACTCATTAGAGTTGTGTTGCTTTGATTTCTCTCATCAGAAGATGAGAGATACCAGAACAAAACAACTCTAATCAAACTTTCTACACAACTCAGCACAGTATCAATGCAAAGTAATGCGTCTGTATCGTTAACAAGCAAAGTTGTTTCGGGTCCTTCCATTTTGGAAGAATTCGGAACAACTTTGCGAATTGATAGTGTAAACCCATATACATGAAAGCGTGCATGCATAAAGACAGGTATTGTCAGCAATGACTACCTTCCCAGCTATGAGTGATCAGAGAATTACCATCTCAGGCTTTTTGAGAACGTTTCAGCCAGGACCCTCGTATGTTGACTGGGAGAAAGGCATCCTTTATCTGAAATAGATGCTTTTCCAACAATCAAATTCGAAGATCTTCGACGTTGTTGTAAAAAGAGAAGGAGAAGGAAAGAAGAGGAAGGAGAGGAAGAAGGAAAGGAAAAGAAGAAGAAGAAGAAAAAAGAAGGACATATTAAATATAATGCGCACTTAATAGTGCCGAGGCGGCGGAGCCGCCGAGGCGCGATTTTTTTGACCCTATATTACCGCACGGCAATGTTTTTCTCGATTTTGTACAGCCCTACAAAAAACAACATCCTATGTATGAAAATTGACTCTGTATCCATAATCTACGATAACACCTTAATCAGGAAATTACAAATTTGTTTTTACAATATTTTTGGCGGTTTTTGTAAATATCAAATATCATTTCATCAAAATAACTATGTGTAACTCAGTCTATGATAAATTTATGAATTTATATGCTGACTATAATGATATATTTATTCAATTATATAGATTAAGAACTTTCGATGAACATGAAATCAACGATTTTTTCATCAAAATCAAACTCAAACTTATCGAAACAAAAATATTCTATCCATATCAAATTCTCTTAATCATTGATCGACTCTATAGATACAACAATTGCTATTTTCGATCATATTTGATACTATTTCAAGATGATTTATGAAGAATATCATGTAAAACAGATAAATGAACTTTCACCACTTTTAAATTACTTTCTTCAAAAAGAATATGGAATTGTTTTATGTGATTTAGATAAAAGCTATTGGAAAAAGTATGAGAATTATTCTCTAGATCTTCATGAAGAAAACACGATTTACAGGGCAATTATGGACAAAGATTTAAAAACATTCATTGGGATTACTGAAACAGGAGATTTCAAGAAAAATCAAAAATTCGGCAGCGATTTCTATCCATCAGAAAAAACAGGTTATTCGTTGCTTGAATTATGCTGTTATCATGGAGCTTCCAACTGTTTTAATATTTAATATCAGAATTTTATTCAGAAATTACTCCAACATGTCTCGAACTTTCATTTTTTAAGGGAAATTCAGAAATATTTAGTGAATGTTTGAAGTATCATGAACCTGGATGTCTCTGCATGAAATATGCAATTATTTTCCATAATATTGACTTTGTTACATATTTGAAAAATGAATGCAACTTACAAATAATTTTTCAGTATTGTATAGAATTCAACAATCTTCAAGGCTTTCTTGTTTATTTGGATCAAACAAATAATTTCGAATATTGCTTACCTACCGCCTCATCATTTAATTTACCATTAATTGTTGAATTTCTTATTTATCAAGGTGCAAATATGATTGATTTAAATTTCCTGAAGAAAATTCTACTGTTTTCATTAGAAGGTAATTACGATGAAGTATCTAAGAAATTGATTTTATGTGGGGTAGATATCAACTTGAATGGCATTTCCAAATTCTCTGCTCTACATATTGCAGTATTAAATAATAATATCGAACTTGTCAAGTTTATAGCAGCCCAATGTGCAGATATCAATCATAGAGATAGTTTTGGTCAAACAGCTCTTTATATAGCAGCAAAGAAAAAAATACCCCGCCATTGCTAAAATTCTTTTGTTAAATGGTGGAGATGTAAATGGAGTTGGGATAAATGGAGAGAATGTTCTTCATATTGCAGTCAGAAACAATAATATTGATCTTGTCAAATTAATAGTTACCAATGGAGTAAATGTCAATCATGCAGATTACTCTGGAGAAACTGCATTTGATATAGCAATAAAGAATGATTTCAAAAGTCTTATCAAGGTTCTATTGTTAAATGAAGTTGATGTCAATCGTACTGGAAAAAACGGAGAAACAGCTCTCGATTTTGCAATAAAAAAGAACAATAAAGATCTTGCAGAAATACTATTGTCAAATGGAGCAGATATCAATCATGTTGGTAAAAATGGGGAAACTGTACTACACATTGCAGTTCTAAATAATTATATTGAACTTGCAAAGCTGATTATTATGAATGGTGCTGATATTAATCATGCAGATTATTTTGGCGAAACAGTTCTTCATATTGCAGTTTTAAATAATAGCATTGATCTAGTCAATTTAATTGTAAGCAATGGCGCAGATATCAATCGTGCAGATAATTCTGGCGAAACTGCCCTTGAACTTGCAACAAAGAGAAATTACAAAAAAATTGTTGATATTTTATTGTCAAAAGGCCATAATATTGACAATATGAATAGCAAGTATGAAATAAATTATTCGATATTGTGATCAAAATAGAAATGAAACTCCTGATAATGAAAATTATTCTGATATGAATGAACAATGTTCAAATGATGTTGATCTAACTAATCCCAATGCTGAAATGGGTACATATGAAAGAACTTTAACAGATCATGTGGTTGACAATGAAACAAATGAAAAAGATTTAATTCTTAGTACAATTAAAAAGGATTTAATAAATTATGCAATTTCAATTGATAAATTCATACAAAACATGCAATTGAAATTCAAAAAGATTCAACTAATCATACAACTAAAATTGATTCAAAAGAATCAGATCTGAATCATCATGAATCAATTATCAACATGAATAGTCAAAATTTAATTAGAACTGTAATTGAAAAAGAAACCAACGAAAATGATTTAATTGATCATGAAAATACTGATAATAATTATGTTAATATCTACAAAATTGCATTTACTCTTGTTTTTCTATATATTTTATGGAAACAAATATTAAACATGTTCTAGCAATCATTTACATATAGAATAAAAAGAATTTTGAATTATGTATATGATACAATCTTTCTGGTAATTTTGGTATTATTACTTATTACTACATAGTGAAGAGATAGTTTTCCATGTTTGTCATAAAAATTAGCATTACTGTGTACAAATCTGCCTGGTGAAACTTTATGAAGCAAAAACCTTGATTTATCGCAGTATGTTGTAGAGCAGTTTTTCCTTATTACCATCACAGAGGCCACACTGGATCAGTTCTTTCACAACGCTGGTAAAATCATTTATAACTGCATAGTGCAAAGCGCTTTTTCCTCATTTATCTATAGTATATTTAAGAATATCAATGGCAAAAGAATTCTTCATTATAAATACATTCTGCAATATAATGCAGAAGAATTTTCCCATAATCAGATTCCTCAATTCCATTCATGTAATAATATTTTGGCCTGCATTTTTAAGCGGCTCGTGCAAGCGCTTTGTGATTTTTTATCAACGTAATAGAGTTCAATAAAAGTTAATGAAAAAAAAAAATATTGAATGATATTATTTAGGAAATCAATAAAATAAATACAAAAATATATATAAATATGGGAATATCTTATTTCCGACTTGAGTACATGCATAAAATATAGCACTATAAATTCAATTTGTTGGAAAACTAACTCGACACAACATCGAGATCTGCTAAAAAAAAAATAAACCTCCTGAAATATAGACATCATAGAAAACACATGATTTGCGTTTTATCTACTTACATAATCCACAGACCGGATGCCAAATATTCTCCCATACTAATTGATTATGGATCTACCTCTTCTGCCTCATACTCTTTTCCAAGATCTGGCGAAATGTTCTACGAAGTTCCAGAAGAAGCTGAAAATCACCCAATAGACAATATTCCGAACATTGAAATACGTAGACGAATTGGATGGTTAAGATACCAATACAACACTGATGCCATAGATTTAGACGCTGAAGAATTAGCAAACGCATCGATTATCGCTAATAAAAAAGAAAGAAAAGCAAGTTCTGTTTCTAATTAAAAAAGATCTCAATATTTTATGATTGTTATCGTATTGAAAATCTATTAAAACCTATTTGTCTTCAAAGAAATTACATAATTCCATGATTTTAATTTTTATTTTTTGAATATCTTTTTTATTTATAAGATTTGATATAAAATTGAAAAAAAAAAAAAAAAAAAAAAAAGGTAGTGGGGCTTCCAGGCACTTCGTGCCTTCTAGCCCTGATGATGTTTAGTAATAAATGAAGTTTTTTATTCGGAAAATTGTTAGTCTTCTGGGTCGAAAACATTATATATAATGTGTCACTTTTCACAAATTATATATGTTTTCATGTTTTGTCAAACATGAACGTACATGTTTTGTCAAGACTTCTTCGTAAATGTTTTGTCAAGACTTCTTCGTAAATGTTTTGTCAAACATGAACGTAAATGTTTTGTCAAGACTTCATCGTAATGAGTGTAAAGGACCCAAAAATAATGTTTAGGTGAAGAGGTGAGATCTCACCCGTTTTTTCACCTGTTTTCTCACCCTCTTGAATTTTCATGATTTCATCGTAAATGTTTTGTCAAGACTTCTTCTTCGTAATGAGTGTAAAGGACCCAAAAATATAATTTAGGGTAGAAGGTTAGATCTCACCTGTTTTTTCACCTGTTTTCTCACCTCTTGAATTTGTCAAGACTTCTTCGTAAATGTTTTGTCACTTTTCTGTCACTTTTCAGGTAAAAACATTTTTATATATATATATAAATGAATTTTACAAAACCACCGTTACCGTTCTTTGGAAATAAGAGTAGATGTAAAGATATTATATTGAGAGAACTTAAGAAACTACCGAATGGTCTAACATTTGTAGATTTGTTCGGTGGAAGTTTCTATATATCCCATTTGTGCCATATAATATTCCCAGACTCAAAGATTATATGCAATGACTTCGACAACTATATGGACCGTCTCAAACATATTCCAGACACAAACAATATATTGAAAGAGTTAAAAGAAAAGATACCTATAGGTAAGATGGAACGTATACCATTAGATAAGAAAAATATTGTGAGAGAGGTTTTGAAAAAAGCAGAATATATGGACTGGGATAGTATATCTGCTAGACTATTATATAGTGGTTCTATAAGAGTTCATGACATTGAAACACTTATGTCAAAAGTTTTATATCTTAACTATACAAATGTTTTCAAAGAGGACATAGAAAAATATATTGAGGGTATAGAGTTTGTGAGATGTCATTGGACAGAGTTGTATGAAAAATATAAAGACAAGGAAAATGTTTTGTTTATAGTGGACCCGCCGTTCTATAACACATGGGATTTTCAATACCAAGTAGACTGGACTTTGAGAGACTCTTTAGAAACTTTAGACGTTATACATAACCATCCATGCTTTTACTTTACATCCGATAAAAGTGGTTTGGAAACCGTTATGAGATGGTTAGAAGACATACATGACTATGAGTTTATATATGACAAGATAGAATATGAGAGAGGTCCTATAAACTGGAGAAAGTGTCATAACAAAGAAATTTTATTAGTAAGTAAATGTGGTTTGAAATAGGACTACTTTTTGGTTTTTTCCATTGTGTCATTTATTTATTTGACGTGGCAGAAAAGTACAGAGAATATGAAGATGAACCAATGCCTGCAAATGTTCAGCATATGTACTCGTAAGAGATATTTTTATCTAATATTAAATGGACGCACAGAACTTAGCGAATGCACAGCAACCTGGACAACCAAACCCAGAGAATATTCCAAATGAAGTTAGAATACAAACTGCAATGGCAAACTATGGTCAAGTGCCAACAGATGTACAAATGCAAACTGCCATGTCAAATGACGCTGCGTTAGGTTTGCCACCATGGTATGCAAATATGAGATGGAAAGAGTTTTATACAAACCCTGAAGTGTCATATAAACATCTGTCAAAAACCGTTTTTTACTTCACTTAAAATGCCACGTAAGCTACGTAAGAATATACGTAAGAGGAAGAGAGCATTGAAACATCCAATAGTAAAACTGACACCACAACAACAGTTGCAACAACAAATGATGAATGACCCCACTATGTTGCAACAAATGTCAAGCAACCCTATGCTTTTAAACCGAGTTATTGGTGCACAGAGTGGAGGTTTAAGAGCGGCACTTTTAGCGAAAATGGCAGGCTATGGTGGAGCTGCAGACGGAACAGCTTATAACCCTCAAAGTCAAATGAATTTGAGTTCACTCAAAAATCAAATAACAGATGTCAAAAAGTCAAACATAGACATACAGAAACAAATAAGTGAAAACGAAAAGAAACTAGAATATGACAGACACACAAAGAAACTCAATGAGTTAAACGTAGAGAAAAAGAAGAAAGAAGAACAACTGAAAGAACTAAGTACAGAGGAATATGCGAAAAAAGTGTCAGAAAAAGCAGCAGAAGTAGCAAAAATGGAACAAGATGTTATAAATTTGAAAAACCATACTACTCAATATAAAGTACTGAAAGATGAAGAGATAAAACAAAAAAGCCATGAAGACATATATGGATAGCGATGAGTATAAAAAAGAAGTTGAAGCAAATGTAAAGGCAGAAAAACTTTTACAGTTGCAAAACCAAACCGTACAGTATGAAAACTTAGCACAAGAAAGTAAAAATAACGACGCAGCCATGCAAAAGGCAATGAAAAGCGCAGAATATATAAAAGCTAATAATGACTGGTTAGATGCCCAACCAACGCCAAAGCAGCCCAACTTATAGGGTCAATAAGGAACAAAATACAAGCGGATGAAGACAGTTCAAATGAAGCTTTAATGAATGCTGACTTTAAGAACGCCTTCGAAGCTCTTCATAGTAAGGTGAAACTAGTGAACGACTTCTCATCTGGAAAGAAACTGAAGGCTGAAGGTTTCGACAACGAGTTAGAAGAAGTAGCACAAAATATGACGAAAATAACAGATGCAGCAACGAGACAGGCAGTTCAAAGTGCCTATGACGCCGTTAGAGCAACTGTTGTGGAAAGTCAAGAAAAAGAGTTACAACAGACCAAAACAGACCTAGTAAATGCTTTCTTAAAAACGAAAAGTCAGGTAGGACATTATGCTGCAGATGGAACATATGTGCCAGCTGGTGGAACTTATATACCACCAGATGAGGTACAAGAAACTCCACAGGAAGAAGTTCAGATACAACCAGACATGGAAGAAAAGTTCAGCAACAACAGCTAGAAGAGCCTGAAGGAAACGAACAAGTCCCTCCTTTGGAAACTACAGAAATAAATGACGCAAGACTGAAACATTGGGTAAAAGCTTTCCCATTCACAAAAGATATTGTTGGTAACATGGAAAGAAAACCAGAATGGCTACACAAAACATATATTTGGAAACGAGCATATTCCATATGGACAAGCTCTGTTTTAAGAGCTTGAACCGGAAACTCAGGAAAGAGTCATGCAAACAATACGCGAAGACTCAAATACAAACTATGACAAAAACTTTCTAGGATATTGGTTACCTGAGATGGGCGACCAGAGCCCAAAGGCAAAAAGGACACGGGAAATTTACAACATACTAGGTGAACATGAGGCAAAGATGCAACAACTTGAAGCAGAGGGCAAGTTACCAAAAGCGACACCAAAGAAGAAGAGTAGAACAAAGTGAAAGTAGTGAAGAAGTAACTTCATCTAGTGAAAGTAGTGGCAATGAAGGAAAAAGAAGAGTTAAAAACTCAGTTAGGAAGAAAGTAAAGCTTGGTACGAGTGGTTCTATTATGATATATAAATCCAACTATTCTATATTTTTACCCATATGAAATGTACGCCGCTCAGAATATAACGCCAACAGTTTTGGATGCCATGAACGGAAATGTTTCCGAATGGTATAACGAATGCGAACATGCCATTAGAAGGTCAGAAATAGTTCCTGGAACTTACGAATATACAACTGCTGTTTCTTATGGAAACGTAGGTGAGTTTGGAGAAGGTTCTTCAACAACAGTAGATATTGCTTGCGACAGGTTTCATATTATTTCTATTGACAACTCATTCTTATACGTGGAACAAGACATTGAAATAAAACCTTCTGCCAAGTTGTCTGACAAGAAAGGTTGCAATGGAATTTTCTATGTCGGATACCAATATGCTCCAGAAGTTTTCATGGGATATAAGATATATTCTAACTCTGACTTAGTTCAAACAGTAACATGGGCAAACTATGAATGGTTCGCTTTGAGAAACTCAGTACAACCACAAGCTAGAGAACAAACAGACCAGTATGCAAATATTGAGAAAATAAGAAGACTTGACCCTAACGTTCCAGGAGTTTATGTTAACCTTTCTGGTTCAGATGGAACTGCTGCCACTAAAGTAAAACTGAAACTTAGAGTTCCTTTGTCATCTTTCCTCATCTTCAGGTTTTTAAGATACTTGCCAAACTGGGCAGGAAAAATTTCTATTGAACTTACTCCAAGCAAAAATAACTTAGTCATTGCACCAACACAAGACCCATTCAGCATTACTGTAGCTGGAACTGGTGGAGCCAAGTTCTGTGACTTTTGCAAAGACAAAGTTGACTTAGACTTTGGTTTCTCAAACTTCAACAATGAAGTAAACTATTATTTCAATGCTGCTGGAACTGCTTGGGACCCAGTTAAGTTCACATGCGAAAAAATTTGAATGCAAGAGAATAGAAAGCAGACTTGCAGTCTATATGTTGGACCCAGATATTTCAAATGCTTTAGCTGCCAAATATATTGCCAGTTCCACTTATGTTCCCTATACACCAAATATCTGTCAAAGACTTTGCAGGTGAAGTTGGAAACCAAAGTGCTGACCCAGGTGCAAGAACAGATATTGCTTTAACAACTGCAATGAAACATGCAGATACTATGTTTGTACTGTTCAGACGAACTATAAATGACTATTCTTGTTTTCTACAACCCCGGATTAAATATCATATAAACATAGATGGCAAATATTATCCAAGAGAAGAATATTCTACAGTTGAGGATATGAGGTCATACAACTTGACATTAGATGCTATGAACTTTAACAACAACTTCACAACAACCATAAACCCTGAAATGCAAAGTTCTATTATGCCATATGTGAAAGTATGGACTCATACAGGAGGTCAAAAAACTCAATATACAAATGGAGACCGTTCAAACTTTTGGCTTTTGCATTCCATTTGCTGACTCAGAAGACTTTATGGTGGTATTTCAACTGTTGGTACTGTACAAATACAATATACTGGTGACAGAGACGGTCCAGATGAATTGAAGCAAAGAAGTTTACAAAACCAATAGCACTTTTCACGGAAGATGCTCTTTTGAAGATTCGTTCGATGAAACCTGCTGGGGCTCCTCAGATTGGCATAACGACAGCTTCCATCGAGCAGATTTTGGCAGCAGGTCAGTAAGTTGTTCTTGAACTGACTTCTCTCCGTCAAATATTGACAGTACGCCAGTTTTGACATAATATTGTAAGATAAACTTTCCTTTAGAAATATCTGTAAGTTTTGTTGTTATATTTTTGTATGCTTCAAGAACTTTCACCATCTCGGTTTATACCAACTTTCTTTGCTTATTGAAAATATTTTGGTTCAGCAAATATTGCTATTCTATAACATTTACCATTGTTTGTATAAAGAACTATTCTGTCAATGTATTTGTATTGTTTGTGTGTGTAAACTTTGTTCTGCTTCAATTCGAAGAGATACTCGAATACGTCCATCTTTTTATTCTAAGTAAAATGTCATTTCCGAAAAATAGAAGCGTGAGTGTTTCAAAAGGTTTAATGGCGGGGGCAGATGTGAAGTTAAATTCACCAACTCAAACAAACAGTCAAAGTGTTGTTGTCAATGTCAAAGACAGAGATGTTGAAGTGGGGAAACCATACGAGGACGAAGATGGTATAACAATTTCCTGTAAAAGAACCAACATATCCTGAAGTTAGCAGAGACTTAAGTTCTGTTGCAGATATTCGAAACGACTACCAACAACTGAAAGACAAACTTCAAACTCAGGAGAAGATTTGTCAAGCTTTAAGTATAATGTTAAACTTGGTCGAACACAACCCTGTAAAAGTGAACTCATATGTCATTGCACCTCATGAAGTCTTGGAAGAACTATTGAAACTTTTGACAGAGGCAGACGATATAAACATCAAAGAAATAGAACCCGACATTAGTTGCTGTGGTGTTTCATATAATGTCATTGACAAGATATACGTTATGAAAGGAGGTGAAACGTTGAACTTAAAGTATAGTTTCCCAGACGTCATAAAAATATTTGACGACCACAACATTTCATTAAAATTTATTTGCTAAGTAAAAATGTCAAAACTTCTTGAAAGATGTTTGAAGAAAAATAATATAGACTTTATTTCATGTAAAGGACTTTACACACTTTTGAACGATATGAAAGACCCTGTTTGTTTGTTTCGTGTAGACAAAGGAAAGTTCTATGTCTTTACAAAATATTTGAACTTCTTAGACAGAGAACTTCAAGAAACGCCATGTGAAAGTTTAGATGAAGTTCTTCTCCACTTTCAGAAAAACTTTAAATATATATAAATGGCAGAAGATATAATGGTTTATACTATTACGACTAAAAACCCTGAGTCATATAATTCTATAACAACAAACTTACAAAGTCCTCAAGACGATATTGTAAACTAACCTTAAACACAATGACGACTAAAGCCTGTTTTGCTCTTTTGACACCAGAAGACTTTATTGTTGTGAATGGTAAAAAATACTCCTTGAAGATACTTACTCAGATATACCACCAACAGGTTTTGTTGACTTATTTAATACTTTAAGTACAGGTGTAACATGTGCTGCAAATAGAGCAGGTTTCTTATGTTTGGATGTCCGACTGAGTTTACTATAAACAATATGAGCTATAATACAAAAATTATATCTGGTTTTTACTACCAACAGTTTCCTATAACAGGAAAAGGTGTCATACAAGGTTTGTCTATTCCATTGACATTAAGCACACCTATTTTATATATTGTTTCAAACTTAGGTTCAAAGTGCTATTCGAATGTCGACAGAAACTACTATGACCAAAAGATACTTATGCGTATAAACAATACTTTCTCTGCTGGTTTGCCTATTGTTCATTCGAATGCAGAATTTTCAACCTTAGTGAACTCAAACACATTGGCAAGTATAACGTTGACATTAGTTGACGCAAACTTTGTTCCTGTAAAACTTTTATGTCCTATGTATTTGTCAATGACGGCAGAAAGTTTCGAATTGGAAGATGCAACTGGTGAAAGTATTTTATTACAAGAACAACTTCAACAACAAATAGCTCAAGAACAACAAATGCAACAAATGGAACAACAAAGTCAAGAATAAAAAAAATATTTTTTTATTTTTATAAAATGTACAGAATAGATGTTTCAGATTTTTATGACTTCCAAGCATTCAGAAATATGTGTCCATTTCGAGACTATAACAAAGCAGTCGAGAATTTGAAACGTTTAGTCATTATGTTCGACGCTAATCTCCTTAACTCATTAGAGTTGTGTTGCTTTGATTTCTCTCATCAGAAGATGAGAGATACCAGAACAAAACAACTCTAATCAAACTTTCTACACAACTCAGCACAGTATCAATGCAAAGTAATGCGTCTGTATCGTTAACAAGCAAAGTTGTTTCGGGTCCTTCCATTTTGGAAGAATTCGGAACAACTTTGCGAATTGATAGTGTAAACCCATATACATGAAAGCGTGCATGCATAAAGACAGGTATTGTCAGCAATGACTACCTGCCCAGCTATGAGTGATCAGAGAATTACCATCTCAGGCTTTTTGAGAACGTTTCAGCCAGGACCCTCGTATGTTGACTGTGAGAAAGGCATCCTTTATCTGAAATAGATGCTTTTCCAACAATCAAATTCGAAGATCTTCGACGTTGTTGTAAAAAGAGAAGGAGAAGGAAAGAAGAGGAAGGAGAGGAAGAAGGAAAGGAAAAGAAGAAGAAGAAGAAAAAAGAAGGACATATTAAATATAATGCGCACTTAATAGTGCCGAGGCGGCGGAGCCGCCGAGGCGCGATTTTTTTGACCCTATATTACCGCACGGCAATGTTTTTCTCGATTTTGTACAGCCTACAAAAAACAACATCCTATGTATGAAAATTGACTCTGTATCCATAATCTACGATAACACCTTAATCAGGAAATTACAAATTTGTTTTTACAATATTTTTGGCGGTTTTTGTAAATATCAAATATCATTTCATCAAAATAACTATGTGTAACTCAGTCTATGATAAATTTATGAATTTATATGCTGACTATAATGATATATTTATTCAATTATATAGATTAAGAACTTTCGATGAACATGAAATCAACGATTTTTTCATCAAAATCAAACTCAAACTTATCGAAACAAAAATATTCTATCCATATCAAATTCTCTTAATCATTGATCGACTCTATAGATACAACAATTGCTATTTTCGATCATATTTGATACTATTCAAGATGATTTATGAAGAATATCATGTAAAACAGATAAATGAACTTTCACCACTTTTAAATTACTTTCTTCAAAAAGAATATGGAATTGTTTTATGTGATTTAGATAAAAGCTATTGGAAAAAGTATGAGAATTATTCTCTAGATCTTCATGAAGAAAACACGATTTACAGGGCAATTATGGACAAAGATTTAAAAACATTCATTGGGATTACTGAAACAGGAGATTTCAAGAAAAATCAAAAATTCGGCAGCGATTTCTATCCATCAGAAAAAACAGGTTATTCGTTGCTTGAATTATGCTGTTATCATGGAGCTTCCAACTGTTTTAAGTATTTAATATCAGAATTTTATTCAGAAATTACTCCAACATGTCTCGAACTTTCATTTTTAAGAGGAAATTCAGAAATATTTAGTGAATGTTTGAAGTATCATGAACCTGGATGTCTCTGCATGAAATATGCAATTATTTTCCATAATATTGACTTTGTTACATATTTGAAAAATGAATGCAACTTACAAATAATTTTTCAGTATTGTATAGAATTCAACAATCTTCAAGGCTTTCTTGTTTATTTGGATCAAACAAATAATTTCGAATATTGCTTACCTACCGCCTCATCATTTAATTTACCATTAATTGTTGAATTTCTTATTTATCAAGGTGCAAATATGATTGATTTAAATTTCCTGAAGAAAATTCTACTGTTTTCATTAGAAGGTAATTACGATGAAGTATCTAAGAAATTGATTTTATGTGGGGTAGATATCAACTTGAATGGCATTTCCAAATTCTCTGCTCTACATATTGCAGTATTAAATAATAATATCGAACTTGTCAAGTTTATAGCAGCCCAATGTGCAGATATCAATCATAGAGATAGTTTTGGTCAAACAGCTCTTTATATAGCAGCAAAGAAAAATTACCCCGCCATTGCTAAAATTCTTTTGTTAAATGGTGGAGATGTAAATGGAGTTGGGATAAATGGAGAGAATGTTCTTCATATTGCAGTCAGAAACAATAATATTGATCTTGTCAAATTAATAGTTACCAATGGAGTAAATGTCAATCATGCAGATTACTCTGGAGAAACTGCATTTGATATAGCAATAAAGAATGATTTCAAAAGTCTTATCAAGGTTCTATTGTTAAATGAAGTTGATGTCAATCGTACTGGAAAAAACGGAGAAACAGCTCTCGATTTTGCAATAAAAAAGAACAATAAAGATCTTGCAGAAATACTATTGTCAAATGGAGCAGATATCAATCATGTTGGTAAAAATGGGGAAACTGTACTACACATTGCAGTTCTAAATAATTATATTGAACTTGCAAAGCTGATTATTATGAATGGTGCTGATATTAATCATGCAGATTATTTTGGCGAAACAGTTCTTCATATTGCAGTTTTAAATAATAGCATTGATCTAGTCAATTTAATTGTAAGCAATGGCGCAGATATCAATCGTGCAGATAATTCTGGCGAAACTGCCCTTGAACTTGCAACAAAGAGAAATTACAAAAAAATTGTTGATATTTTATTGTCAAAAGGCCATAATATTGACAATATGAATAGCAAGTATGAAAAATTATTTCGATATTGTGATCAAAATAGAAATGAAACTCCTGATAATGAAAATTATTCTGATATGAATGAACAATGTTCAAATGATGTTGATCTAACTAATCCCAATGCTGAAATGGGTACATATGAAAGAACTTTAACAGATCATGTGGTTGACAATGAAACAAATGAAAAAGATTTAATTCTTAGTACAATTAAAAAGGATTTAATAAATTATGCAATTTCAATTGATAAAATTCATACAAAACATGCAATTGAAATTCAAAAAGATTCAACTAATCATACAACTAAAATTGATTCAAAAGAATCAGATCTGAATCATCATGAATCAATTATCAACATGAATAGTCAAAATTTAATTAGAACTGTAATTGAAAAAGAAACCAACGAAAATGATTTAATTGATCATGAAAATACTGATAATAATTATGTTAATATCTACAAAATTGCATTTACTCTTGTTTTTCTATATATTTTATGGAAACAAATATTAAACATGTTCTAGCAATCATTTACATATAGAATAAAAAGAATTTTGAATTATGTATATGATACAATCTTTCTGGTAATTTTGGTATTATTACTTATTACTACATAGTGAAGAGATAGTTTTCCATGTTTGTCATAAAAATTAGCATTACTGTGTACAAATCTGCCTGGTGAAACTTTATGAAGCAAAAACCTTGATTTATCGCAGTATGTTGTAGAGCAGTTTTTCCTTATTACCATCACAGAGGCCACACTGGATCAGTTCTTTCACAACGCTGGTAAAATCATTTATAACTGCATAGTGCAAAGCGCTTTTTCCTCATTTATCTATAGTATATTTAAGAATATCAATGGGCAAAAGAATTCTTCATTATAAATACATTCTGCAATATAATGCAGAAGAATTTTCCCATAATCAGATTCCTCAATTCCATTCATGTAATAATATTTTGGCCTGCATTTTTAAGCGGCTCGTGCAAGCGCTTGTGATTTTTTATCAACGTAATAGAGTTCAATAAAAGTTAATGAAAAAAAAAATATTGAATGATATTATTTTAGGAAATCAATAAAATAAATACAAAAATATAATAATATGGGAATATCTTATTTCCGACTTGAGTACATGCATAAAATATAGCACTATAAAATTCAATTTGTTGAATGCAAACATGAGTCTGCGAAAAATTAAATCTGAATTGATTAGAAATGATTGGTTTTATCTTATATAAGCCGATGTATCCCATACTAATTGATTTTGGATCATATCTTTGCTCAATTTCTTTCCAAGTTCCGTTTATGTTTCGACTTTCTAGAGTCCAATTATTAAAAAATCCAGCTTCTCCAGGAATTGTCGGATTCTGATCAGCTCTTTGTTGCAACTGATAATGAGTTAAAAGAATTGAACCTTTTAAAAATGAAAATTCTAATGTGATATTACTTGTGTATGATCTATATGCTGAAGGACGTGTGTAATTCAAAGCAAAAATACATGATGGACCCCATTCTCCATCGCTAGATTTGAAGTCTATGTCATTGCTTGTGTATGTGATGATATCATTATAATCATCTTGATGTGCTTTGATATATCCGTCAAAGCTTGTATCTGAGCGAGGACTATAATTTTCTATTGAAAAAAATGTCAAAAAATTTTGACAACCTTATGATGAGACATTTTTGAAAAAGCATTTAATTAACATGTATTGGGGATGGTGGACGGAAATTTCTATTAAGCATGAATAGGAAGCACAAATTATGATGATTTTGAAAATTCATAATGAATACTGAATGTATCTTTATGTATATTACTGCGTAAATATGGTAGTCATAGTTCTCATTAAGGTGACACTAGCTCAAACAAATATATTCCAAACAATGGATTAATTTTTAGAAAAATCATATTTAGGATGAATGTCTATCACAAAAAATGCTAGCAATCTATGACAGCACTACTTAAACCATGTTTTGAGACAATCAAGATTATTGAGATTCAATATCTTAATGTTTTCTTAAGAATGCTGGTTAAATCCTTTTCCAAAGCAACTTGAGAATATATCTTCTTGTTACAATATTCATAAATTTGTATGGGTTCTTTCTTATCTGTTCCAAAGACTTCGAATGAACCCAAACGTGCAACGCCACAGCATATCCTTGATGGAATTGAGGATCTTAAGAGTCGAGGTGTTTGCTCAAAATGTATTCAGCGCCTCATGTCTTTAGATTTATTAACTTCTAAGCGCCTTTGTCCAACAACAGATCATGAAAATGACTGTATTGCATGTCATGGTGTATTACAAATCATACCCAAAGTTAAACAAATTGTTTCTGATGCTATTGGACCTTATTCATATCATGATGTTCAAATAGAAATTCCTCCAAACCTAATAAAAGCAGACGATAAGATCTGCAGACAATACGATCTCGCAACTTCATGCAATATCAAAAATTACCTTAAAGCAAAACTAAATCATGAATTACCACACACAAATTCCGGACCTACACTAATCCTTCACATTGCCGGTCCAACAGATATACAATGCAAGTTGAAATGGCCCGATTTATTCATAACAGGCCGCTATTTCAAGAAATCTCGAAGAGTTTCAAACAGTCGCTTCTTCAAAGGCAATTCAATAACTTCGGTTGAAACGGAACTCATCAAAGAATTCTCGAAATACGTGAAATGCTCACAGTTTACCTTTGCTTCTTCAGGAAGAGAAGATGCTGATGTCAGAATGATCGGATCTGGCCGACCATTTGCTTTGAAGATGAAAGATCCTGTTCCGCCACATCCACCAAAAGATATTGACGAATACGTTGAAAGCGTAAACGCTTTAATTCCAAAAGATATTGAGTGTGAAAACTGCGTTGCCGCTGCAAACTGTCATGTTGTGTTACAGCAACCATCCATGGAGCCAAAGCATATGAAAAGATATCGTTCTGTTGTTACATTTACAAGACCTGTTTCAGATGAAGAATTACAGAGGATAGAAGGCCTTGAGAACATTGTTTTGCACCAGAGGACACCTTTGAGAGTTGCCCAGAAAAAGGAAATTCAAGATAGAGAGAGAACAATTATGAAATTAGGTTATCAAAGAATAAGTCCAAGATTTATTTTACTTGACTTAGAAACTTCGAAGGGAACTTACATTAAGGAGTTTGTGAACTCTGATTTCGGAAGAACTGTGCCTAGTTTGGGACAACTTTTGAATCCTGATGATCCTCCTCAATGCCAGCTTTTGCAATTAGACGTAGTCTATGTTGCTGAGGAATAGATATAAAAATGTTATTTATTATTTCAAAATTTTAATAATATTTAATAATTTTTTTTAAATTCGATCAATAATTCAAAGTTTTATTAAAAATTGTCTGAAATTTATGTTTTAGATAATGTATTGATAATGCTTTGGTAAATATTCAATCTTAATGCTTCTGAAATCAAAATCCCATAAAAAATGAATGCATATTAGATATGTGCAATCATGAAAAACAACATCTGCAATGTATATAGTTAATATTATCAATTAGAATTAGGTTTGCTCGAATTTGAAATAGAAATTAGTTAAAATATTTAGTATTTATTTGATTTAACTTGATATTATGAGTTAACAGTGACTACAAATAAGTATTCTCATAAATGAATCAATAATAATGAAATCATACTTAGGAATTTCTGCCAAAATTGTGATTTCTGACGGTTTATTTGTCAGAAAATTTTGACTAGTGACAGAGCCATGGTCCTTTTTTAAATAATGTCTAAACGTGGACGTACAGGTCAGCAAGGCACAAAGTTCGCCATGACAGCAGGTCTTCCAGTTGGCGCCGTTATCAACTGCTGCGACAACTCTGGAGCCAAGAATATGTTCATCATTTCCGTTCGTGGCCACAAGGGTCGTCTTAACCGCCTTCCAGCTGCTTCAGTCTCAGATCTTATCGTTGTTACATGCAAGAAGGGTAAACCAGCTCTCCGTAAGAAAGTTTCCATGGGCGTTGTTGTTCGCCAGCGTGCTATCTGGCGCCGTAAGGATGGCGTCGTCATCGGCTTCCAGGATAACGCCGGTGTTATCATCAATGATAAGGGTGAAATGAAGGGCTCTGCTATCACAGGTCCAGTTGCTAAGGAAGCTGCTGAGCTTTGGCCAAAGGTCGCTTCTGTCGCCCCAGCCGTTTTCTAAACAAAAATGGTTATATTTGAATTACATCTAATACTTTTTTTTTACTACATATGGGAACATATTTGATATCTCTTTTTTATTATGAATTCTAACAGATTTTATAAGTTATCTGATAGAGATTAATGTAATTCATGGTAGAATTTGTTATGAAATCCAAAATAATTTAAATTGTTTTTTGAATTAAAGCATTTTATCGGGTATTTAACAATAGAATCAAAGAATTCCGAAAAACATAATATCAGTTAGATGACATCCAATACATAAACAGTTTATTATTAAAAAAATTATTTTTGGAATTGGCCGAAGAATTCTATTCTTTCTAAAGCCAATCTCTTATCTTTCTCAGGCTTAGATTGTAGCTGGGTAAATCTAATATATTTATGGAATGAATGCATTTGGGCCGTGAAACAGAAAACTCCAGGAGATTTTGCGAGATCTGATTCTCTTTGGTCAATAAGGATCCAGTTCTCTTTGTTTGAGCTTGCTTCGAGCTTCCATTTGAAAGGAGTGACTCCAACATCGATTTGGCACAAAACTGAAATGGTATACGTAGTAATACAGATTGTGTTCATCTTGAAATCAAAAATTATCCATGGGTTGTCCTCTGGTTCGCTGACAAAATAATCTTTTTGATATAACAAGGATTCGAGTGATCCTTGGGAAATGGAGGATGATGTAATGGCTGGGTAAAATATTTTAGACATAAGGCCGTCAAATTCATGGCCTGGAACGTAAGGAATTGTATTTGAAACGTTTGTTTCTGAAATTTTAGCCTGAGTAATCTGTGGAAGTAAGGAAAGATATCTGTATATATTAACTTTCGGATTTTTGAGGATATTTGCAGCTACATTAGGAGGAATCGAAGAAAATGGATAATATTTTGCAAGACGATGGTTTGGAGACTTAACAAAGTTGAAGTACTTCATGAGGAATGGAATTAAGATCGTTGGAGCTACATTGATGTTACGTTTAAGAATGATATCGATGAAAACTTCTGGAACATTCTCAAACATGTTATTTTCAATCAATTCTGTCATGTGGTTCTCAAGGAGATTGGCAAAAGGCTCTACTGATAAGCCAGCTTCAAAAGCACGTAAGGCATAATCGAAAATTTGTTTTGTATCAAGTTTCGAAACGATTAAATCGAGACATCTTACAACAAGAGTATCAATGCATAATTCTATGGAAATTTCAAGAATAAATTCTGCTTCAGCTTCTGTGAAAGTGATATCTTTGCAATTTAAATAGTCAATAATCAAGTTAAATGGTCCAGGACCTGTTTGGAGAGTTATTTCGTCGCATAAAATATTTTCAACGATTGTTGAGCAAATCTTTTTTGAAAATGAAGAAGCAATCAAGGGATTGCAGCGATAAGACTTGCCATCATGATGTATTGTGAAACTATTGAATGGAGAGATCGATGCACGCGCTGATAATTCACTGTAATCAAAAGAAAAAACAAAAGTACTTGACATAGAATTTGTCACTTTTTTAGTTGAAGAAAACTCAATCTTCAAATCCCAATCTCTAAAATTGCGATCTGATGATATGAATTTCAAACTGTTGCCTACAACACAGTTGAGCAATGAACTTAATGTGATTATACAACATAATTTGAGAAATCTGTCCATTAATTATTTGTATTTTGAGATAACAGCTAGATACTTGGTTTATACTCCAATGATATTTAAGAATGTCTATACGTGTTCAATTCCAAAACGCCTATTTTCATTAAATCTGGAGCAAATATCTTTATATGGTAATTTCTATGATGAACTAAGTTACTTATTATTATTAACAGATCTAGTACTATTGACAACATGACGTAGAACCATTGAGATTAATATTAGATTTTGATATGAATTTGAACAATCATGATTTTCTAAAATTCAACATTTTTATGTGTAGGTAATATAAAATAAAGAGAAATATGAAGAAATAAAATTTAGAACGATAGATGGGACGATAAATTTGGCCGCCCTTGTGTTGTAATGGCTGATCAGGCAGTCATCATCAAATGCCGTGTCTGGGGTGGCGAAACAGGTGTTACCTCAAAGCTTGCTCCAAAGCTCGGTCCTCTCGGTGTTCCAGCTCCAAAGGTTGCCCAGGAAGTTGCTAAGGCTACAGAGAAGTACAAAGGCTTCCGTGCTACAGTCAAGATCACCGTCCAAAACCGTGAGTTCAAGGTCGAAGTCGAGAACTCCACATCTACACTCCTCATTGCTGCCCTCAATGAGCCACATCGTGATCGTAAGAAAGTAAAGGCTGTCAAGCACTCTGGCTCCCTCTCCCTTGATACAATCATCGATATCGCTCGTACAATGAGACCAAAGTCCTGCGCTCGCACACTCGCCGGCACAGTTAAGGAAGTCCTCGGCACAGCTCAGGCTATGGGCGCTCATGTTGATGGCATGGATCCAAAGGAAGTCCAGAAGAAGATCGCCTCTGGTGAAATCCCAATCCCAAAGGAGTAAAATAATCTAAATTTTTGATACAATGCTTAAATATACAGAAATCTTTTTAAAATATCATTCTTTGATTGAAATAGATAAAATTAAAGCATCAAATGGTAAATTTTATTTGTGAATAGAAATAAGTTTAATAAAGTATCTAGTATACAGTAAAAGACAGTTAGAGTAATGGTTCTGTAGGAACAAAGTTGGAAATCTTTGAAATTTCCTTCTTAAATTCTTCATAATGAGGAAGTTCTTTAGCCACGTCTTCATTCATATCTCCTCTTTGCATAAATGCACTTAGATTCTCAATCAGGCCATAGTTAAATGGATTGATTTCATCAGGCAATAATTCGTAGTATTCGAACAATTTTGTATGATGAGTTTTGATGGAAAGCGAATTTTTGCATGCAATGACAACCAATTGATAGAGGATTATCGAAAGCTGAATCAAAGAGTGCAATGAAAAGAAAACTGATGGAATTAAGAAAATATGGTACTGTATCCAAGTAATTGGTGATGATTTATGGAAAAGAGGATAAGTAGAGACAACGACATGAAATATCTCAATTACAATACCAAGTCCTAAAAATTGTAAAGCTATATCGGAATTTGTAGATGCAACGCATGTTGACAAATAATCTGAATGCAGATAATGTCTTAAAGAGCATTTATCGCAGACTTCGCAGTGAATTGATCTGCAACCAATTGGAGCTTGGCAACGCGGACATTGTTTATCCAAACCTTTGAGGTTCTTGAAAACCAATGCATTAGATGTATCAACGAGAATGGCAAGCATTAAAAATAAAACGAGAGTATATACATAAAAAACAATTGGGAAATCGGATTTAAATGAAGCTGATATAGGACCATCCTGGAAAGTTAAAGAAATGAAAACGTATATATGGATAAGAAGGAATCGTAATATACCTTTCATATCTAATGTAACAAAAAAAAATTATAAAGTTTAGAATTCAATTTGGAAATAAAATTCTGGATAGATAGGAAATTCACATCTAAATTTAAATAAATTTGTCCAATTTTTGGAAACTGAAAATTTGGCACTTTTTGTGAGCAAAAAAAACTTTTTTATGCTGAGAGACTGGTCTGAATTTGAAAAATGTTATCCTGATGAAGAAGTTAAGATTCCTGAGATTAAAGAAACTCTTGACGACCTTACTGGTCTCAACGAACAATATGATGAAGAAAAATTGGACCGAAGTTCAGGTATTAAGATTATTAATGAACTTGAAAATTCAAACGGACCTGTTGAACCCCAACAGCTATTTTATTTCGAAAATTCTATTAATTCAAAACCCGAACTTGCAGAAGCAGTTGAAGTTGAAGATTCAGAGATACCAGCAGATCAAGAAATCATTACTGCTCCATCGCTTGTAGAAGAAACATGAAATTTTTTTGAATGAAATTGTTTTTTTATTAATAATTCCAATAATTCTCTGGATTTTTGAAACATAGTAGCTAAATTGCTATGGTGACTCGAGTTCCTCTGATCTTTTTGCTTCAAAAAACGTTCAAAAAAAATAATATAATTATTTTTAAGAAAATATGCTCAAACAGCAATAATAATATTACAAAAATTTGGTATCACGTTGATTTACTTATCTCACAATCATCAAATCGAGATTTAAAATAAAATTTGATATTATCATTTATTCATTGACTTTATCATAAATATAACGATTACATTTCAACCGAGCATTTGTTTTTAAAAAAGTAAAAATTCATATAATAAATAATATTTAAAAAACATTATAATAATCAATAGATTCATCAGTAATCTGATCCGGAGTTGGCGGAGTTGGATCTGTAGCAGCTAAAGGTGGATGTCTTCCATTAACTAATTCATGTAAAGAAACAACGCTTCTGCAGAGCTGCGAAATAAAGATCATAAATGTTGCGTCATCTGCTTTTGTATTTAATGAGTCTACTGTTTCTTTAAGTTCGAAATTAGGTAATAAATTGAAAATAGATTGAATAACGCCAAGAATTTCATTATCAATTTGTAATTTTCCATCTATAACATCTCCTAGGTATTGTGAGATAGCTCTCAAGCGATGCTCAAGAGCTGCTAAGCCATGAATACTATTTGTAAGTGTACAACCAATTGCAGACATATCTACATCTTTAATATCTCTAAGAAGGTGCTCGACACCGATTTCCTCAACTTCTAAAAATTCAACAGTTGTAGGAATATTTCTAAAAGAAGTAACAATTGGTTGGCCATCTTTGCGAACTCTTTCAGCTCCAAGAAATGCGCATGCTGGGATTTCGTGTGGATCTGAAGCTCCAACATCTGTAGTTAAAAATATTGGGTCAGGACAATAATCACACATTTTTCTATGAATTTCAAGATCGTTGGGAGATACTGTTGCTAAAGAACTGTACCAACCAATTATTTTTTCTTTAAGTGTTACTTTTTTGTGTAAAGAATACATTTCTTCAATAAAGTTTGTATCAAAATACCAAACAGATGGATCTTCGCTATCTTCTTCAAATGGGACACCGAAACATTGGAATATATTTGCTTGTCCTTTATAAATGTCACCTAACAAAATTCCAATCACACGTTTTTGGCGCTGTGTAACAACACGGTTGTGATGATCAGCTATGGATAGAAGTACTATGGGGTGAACAGCCGCTTTGGTAATATCAACTCGTTTTGTCTCTGATAACATTTATTTTAGTCACTTTTTTGCAAAAAAAAAATCAAATGGAAAAAAAAATGTACATGAAAGCATAATTCTGTTTCCATTTTACTAGCAACATTTCAATCAATCATTTTGCATAAAATTAATTCAGAATTTGATTTAATTTCGATATCGAAAATTTTATTTTCAAGAGAGACTGCATGATTTTTATTCGGATTCCTGTTATACACGCTACAGTCTCTTTAAACTTCAATTGTACTTGATAAAATACAACAGCGAAAATTGATTAATTTTTGTCGATGGATAACATTCTTTAAACGCCAATTGAGATTGGGCAACTAATAATTCAGCAATTTTAATCAATTTAAATCTTTGATCTTTCAATAAATCTTGCAAATCCATCAAAAATACTTTGTTTAGCTTGACAAAAAGTCTTAATTGCAATATATTAGGCAAGAGATCGACTTTTGGTGCCTCAACTGACATTTTCAGAATATTTTGACAATATCTTGGAGAAACATTGAATTAATTTGTGAAGAATTGTATACATCTGTTCCGGTTATGTATTAGCTATTCCAAAGAATTATCTTTCAGACAATCAATTTTCAAAAACCTCAAAAGTCATTTTCAGTGATTTCTCTACGAGTTTATTTGTCCTCCTTTTACCACTAAATATGATAACATCAGTTAAATTTATTTTCAAGCATGTTTCTCAAAATAAAATTAATCGTGAAAGATAGGAAATCAACAATTGATTCAGTGTTGACCGAAGAATGATAAAATTGTTTGTAAAAAAAGCGATAACTCCAACTCCGTTTATTTTCCTATCGAGGTTTTTTTGTCATCGTTGTTAATTTTGATCCTCTCATGATTTCTAATACTTCTTAGTTGACCAAATCGTCAAAAAAATATGTAAACCGCCAAAACATATTCACAAAAATTGAATACCCAAATCTTTGGCAGAAACATCATAACACTTTTTCAACTTTTTTTTTCTAAAAAATTAATAAAAGGGAAATGGAGTCTCCTGATAATAAGAATGGAAAATCTCGTCAAAAGCCTATTCGCAAGGCCAGATTCGTTTACGCTCCATGGCAGTATATGCCAGCCATGATGCTCCCTGAACGTCCCATACAGATTCAAGAACAACCAGTCATGCTGAAACCTCAAAATAAACCTAAAATCGTCGAATCAGCAAATTTGAAGCACAGTATTTCAGAACCGAATCTCATGCTTAATTTTGAATTGCCAAAAATAGATAAAGTCGATACAACTCAAAGAACAAATCCACCTGGAAACTTTGATATTATCTCTCGAGGTAATCTACCCTCTATTTCGTTTGTTCATGATAACGTTATTGTAGAGCCAGCTCCTAACGTTGATTTAGCAAGTATGCAAAATCCGTAGAAAAGCATAACGCACCTCATAGATATTGCTTTCCAAGAAGCAGCATAAATTTGTATTCTTAAATTAATATGTATAATACTAATTCTACTAAATTTTTTAATAATTTCTTTTTTTGTTTTGAATTGAGTTATCTTTTTGTACGAAATTACTCAATGAAACAAACATTGCGTGTTTACGTGCTCGTTGATGAATTCAAGTTTTCTTTCAAAATTTCCTTTCATTACAAATTTTTTGGAGATCGAATTGTAATAAACAGAAATTCATCAAAAGTGACAGCTCTCAATTTTTTGACATTTGTAAATTCTAAATTGAATGAGAAAAATGAAATAATACTAAGCATAATACAATATTCTAGATTTAATTATAATTAGGAAAAAGTTAGTTTTGAGAGTACTTTTCATAGGCATATAGAATGAAATCTTCTGAAAAATAATATCACATAAACTCATATTATTTTCTAATATATAACTATTTTATATAAAAATCAAATTCAATGATCTTAAAAGCGAAGGATAAACCTCAAAATTTACGAATATAATGAGTGGGAATATAATGATTATCTATCATAAAACCATATGAAATATCAATTTTTGCTTTACGCCTAATTTTTGACGACAATTAGCAAAAAATGTTAAACGTTAACACTCAGTCCATTTGAATATGAAAAATAAAATTGACTTTGATTAAATGTTTTTATTTATCATGCAATTCTTTTGCGACCAAAGATTTGAATAAAAGTTCAAAAATAAGATAGCTTAAAAAATAATATACGGTAGTGTTTACTAATAGATGAATAGTATATAAATTCTATTAAAATGGATTTGATCCAAAAAATATAAAACCAAAAATAATTGTTATAATTTAAATGAAGAAGTAATTTAAAACGATTTTATTTATGATCAAATTTTATATATTTTTTTGGATCAAATCCATTTTAATAGAATTTATATACTATTCATCTATTAGTAAACACTACCGTATATTATTTTTTAAGCTATCTTATTTTTTGAACTTTTATTCAAATCTTTGGTCGCAAGAAGAATTGCATGATAAATAAAAACATTTAATCAAAGTCAATTTTATTTTTCATATTCAAATGGACTGAGTGTTAACGTTTAACATTTTTTGCTAATTGTCGTCAAAAATTAGGCGTAAAGCAAAAATTGATATTTCATATGGTTTTATGATAGATAATCATTATATTCCCACTCATTATATTCGTAAATTTTGAGGTTTATCCTTCGCTTTTAAGATCATTGAATTTGATTTTTATATAAAAAAAAGGTAGTGGGGCTTCCAGGCGCGTTGCGCCCTCTAACCCCGAAGATGTTTAGTATAAATGAAGTTTTTATTCGGAGGGCTTCCAGGCGCGTTGCGCCCTCTAGCCCCGAAGATGTTTAGTATAAATGAAGTTTTTATTCGGAGGGCTTCCAGGCGCGTTGCGCCCTCTAGCCCATAAGAAATTTTGCCCAAGACCCAAGAGGAGGACCGAACCCCAGCCGACCAGCCGGTGACAAAACCAAAACCGTTGTTATTTACATCATATTAATGGTGTCACTTTTTAAAATGTCACTTTTTGTGTCGCTTTTCACAAATTATATATGTTTTCATGTTTTGTCACTTTTCTGTCACTTTTCAGGAAAAAACATTTTTATTATTATATATAAATGAATTTTACAAAACCACCGTTACCGTTCTTTGGAAATAAGAGTAGATGTAAAGATATTATATTGAGAGAACTTAAGAAACTACCGAATGGTCTAACATTTGTAGATTTGTTCGGTGGAAGTTTCTATATATCCCATTTATGTCATACAATATTCCCAGACTCAAAGATTATATGCAATGACTTCGACAACTATATGGACCGTCTCAAACATATTCCAGACACAAACAATATATTGAAAGAGTTAAAAGAAAAGATACCTATAGGTAAGATGAAACGTATACCATTAGATAAGAAAAATATTGTGAGAGAGGTTTTGAAAAAAGCAGAATATATAGTTAGTATACATATCATGTGTACTGAGGCACTGCGCGCCTCCGTACACCACTTAGCGGTTTTGACACTTTACGAAACCGTTAACGTATATTTTACAACACAAACGGCAACACTAACTTAACCTTAAATATTTACACAGCCACCAACCACTTCACCTCACTAATGTTTTCACAAACGACTTCACTAATGTAAAAATAAACGTTCTCACTTACAAAAGTATTGCAACTCCTCCCATTGCTGTGCTTCATATAACAGCTCATAATCTTCTGACTCACTTTCTTCTTCATATAGGTCAAAATCACTGTCATAGTTTATACCTGTAAGTTTTGACAAAGCTAATGAAACACGTTTACCGTTTGTATCGTATGCTTGTATAAACTTTCCATTCTTCATTCCTTCATAAACGCTCAAACTAACTTTACCCTTTCTCCCTCGTATCTGATAGAATGTATTTTCACGAGGAACGAAGAACAAATTCTTGAACTCATGACCGTTGTAGTTTGTTATCTCAATAGTTTTCGTCATTACATCCAAATAAAAATTTTCAGTAAAAATAAAAAATAAACTTAAAAATTAATGATATCACCACCCTCACACGTATGAAAACATAGCACAAAAATAAATTTAGGTGAAGTGGTGAGATCTCACCTCTTTTTTCACCTGTTTTTTCACCCTGTTGAATTCATTGCTTTATAACTCTCTTCCTTGGTTTCTTTTTAGTTGCTTTCTTCACGTCTGTCTCCAACTTGACTGTCTTTCTTCTTCGGCCGTAATGATACCAGTTACTTCCACCAGTCAATGGGTCAAATGGTCTTTCGTAAGGGTTTCCATACATTCCATAGGGACCATACGGAAGAACTACTGGTGGAGAAGAAACATTTTCTTTAGTTCCATCGACTCTATTTAAATGCATTGTTTCACCTTTCATCTGGTCATTAAAGTCTTTTGCATGTTTTGCAAACTCATCATCCTTTCCTAAAGCATTTTCTGACTCAGTCGCAACCAAATTGGATGCTTTATTTATGAGCCCTATTTTATTTAATCTTAACTTCTTTACAACCCAGCCTCCAATCTTTCCTTTATTTGCATCTAATGTCTTCGAAACTCTTCCTCCACTCATTTTATTTACTGCGTCATAAGCTCCAAGTGCTTTTGCTCCAAATGCTAATGCTTTTGTTCCCATTGCGCCTAAAGCTGCCCAAGCTACCATTTACACCATATTAAAATCATCTCTCTTCAATATTATCTCATAAAAGTTCTCGTTACTGGAGAAAGTCAATGAAACATAAACATTCTCACGGGCTTCGCCCTCACCGCTTTGCGGTCTATCTAACTTATTTCTTATATCATCTATACGCTTCAAAATGTCTGAACAATTGCTAACATCTTCTACAACAGTTATTTCATCATGAATGACCTTCAAGAACAAGCTCATTTAATATGCTATTAAAATCATCTCAATAATGAGTCCATCCTTTCCGTCTTTGGGTAGCACAACATCTTTCATTGAAGAAGGTTCGACAAGTCTTATGTTAAACTTACTGACAAAGTTTGTTATACTATAATGCTTCGGCGGCGAATACATGTAGTTTGAAAGACATAATATAGATTCTTCAGCAAATTCACTTATACTGGATTTTATAACAATGTTCTCACGAGACCAAATGCCACCAATTGACAATCTTGTAAGCAATCCTGCTGAACCTTCTACTGTAAACGTCGATGGTAACATTCCACGAAGGTCATCTATTGACATCGTTGAGTCACTGAATTTAAATATTTTCTTAAAGCAATCATCATTATCTAACCATGTAATAGCTTTGAAGTTTTCATTCGAATATACATCTGCTTCATTAAATGTAAAACCTGACTTCTTTGCAGAGATGACTTTAAAATCTATTGAGTTTGTTTCAAAAGTATATGCTATGGTAACTTCTGAAGGTAATGGGTGCCCTTCTGCTATAAGTTGTTCTCTCACTACTGTTTGAAGCTTTGTGTTAAAAACTTTCATGTCATCTCCTGTGTCTAGGTTCACATACACAGCAACAGGAAAACTATCTTGCTTCTTTGTTTCATCATTATACCTCAAAACATTAAAGTTCTTCAATAATATTGTTCTTCCTGCTGGAATACTTCGAACCTGTCTGATTTCAATAGCTTTCTCACCTCCTACATACTCTACCCAATGTCTTGGATATTCATAAGTATACTGACTTTCTTGAATTTTGGTTGGTTTCATCATAACATGTTCATAGTATATCTTTATACTCTTGTCAGTTAGACTCGGTGCTATGTTCTGAATATTTCTGACTTGCATTTTTAATGGAGATAAAATGAAGCATTTAATACATGACGTAGATGAAGACATGAATGAAACTACAGACAAACTTAACTCTTCTCTCATTCTTCCTTTCAGTAAGGACTATGAGTTCTGTTCAAATGGTGTTTATTTCTATTGTGGAAAGATGGGCTCAGGTAAGACATTTAACCTCATTCGTCATATACTCATAACAGAGCGTTTAGGAAACGACTCTTACTATGACCAAATCATTATATCAGCAACTTCAGACTCTATGGACTCAACAGCGAAAACATTTATGTCAAAAGTTCAAGCCTCTGTCGTTAAAGTTCCAGATAGCGAACTCATTGAATTTCTTCAACGTTACATTCGACGTAAGAGGAAATATTATGCCATCGTTGAATTTATACAGTCAGGAATGCAAAAGACTTCAGAAGAGATGGAAAGAATTATTGACAAACACCACTTACGTCAGTACTCAGGAGTTTACGATATGAAACGACTTACAAACTACATTCTATCAAAACTTTCAAAATACCCCTTCAAAAAATATCCTTCAAACACTCTGCTCGTTTGCGACGACTTCGCCGGAAAAGGTTTAGTGTCAAAGCCTGACTCACCATTAGCTAACATCATTACTAAAGTCAGACATTACCATTTAACTGTAGCAATACTTATGCAAACATGGAGGTTTTTAGCTTTAAACATAAAACGTCTCATAACTGACTTCGTTATCTTTCAAGGTTTCTCACGTTATGATATTGAACTCATTTGGAAACAGTCAGGTATAACATTACCTTTTGAAGAAATTTGGGAAGCATATAAGTCTCTCATCTCTCCTCGTTCATACCTTGAGATTCATATCATGACTAATACCATTAAAGTCAAAAATATTCCATGGGAACGACCAACATTATTTTAAATCTTATGCTTTAATTGACTGATGGTAAACAAATTCCATGCATCTCTGTCGCCATTTCTGTTAATATTTTTGCTGTCATTCATATCATCCACTTCCCCATCCGTTAGCTTTTGAGGATATGCGTTAGAATAGCTGTTCTTAAATGAAGGCTTTTCACCTTTGAGAGCATAAACTCTATAACTTTCTGCATACTTTATGTTTGAACCTCCTGAGCCATCATTGACATAAATTTTTATAGGCTTCCACCCTTTGTTCATGTTCCTGCTTCTTCCCTTAGCTCTTTTGTTCAGTAGTTCTACATTTATACACAGCTCCTGTCTCAGTGAATTCAACAATATTTTCATTCGTTAGCTTTACATTCAAACCCTTGTCGAGTATATTGTTCATTTCATACATATAAAAGGTTTTTATTCTATATGAAATGAGAAGCAAATCCATCTTAGCTGGTGCCGTTAATGTTCCAATTGAACCAACATCAAATGTTGACTCACGAACGACAAACAATATTGTCATAAAGAACTATAGTTCAGAGTGTTTGAAAGAAAAAGAACCAGAGCTGAAATCCGTGAATTTAAACTCAGCTTCAAACGCTAACGCTACATCAGATGTTAAGTTAGAGTATCCACCACTGGACCAAATTCTTTCAAGAGAAGCCAACGACAACCCTTACACAAATGTTCAAACAAATCCTTCAGATAACGTAGACCATTACCTTCTTCAGTTATACCAAACAATTTTACTCAAAGACGATAAGAAGCTTTTGGTAAATCTTATAAGCAAAAAAATAATTCTAACAAAGGAGGACCTTGAAAATGTTATATCACAAATAACAGGGAAACAATGTGTCATTGACTATCTCGACCCTGAAATCGAATGCTGTGGTCAAACGCCACCATTCATGAAAATAGGTAACATCCGCATCATTGAAACACCAGGAACTACAGGAGTTGAGTTTAAGTATAAATATTCGAACGAGTATACAAAACTTTCAACAGAATATAAGCTTTGTGTGAAATATGTTTTAGTAAATTAAAGCAATTTGTAATATCTATCCAAAACTTCTTCAACAGTATCGAACTCATCTTCATAATGCAAACCTAATCTTATTGACTTGGTGCAGTTTTCACTAACACAATATTTTTCTGTTCTCTTGACTGACATAACTAACTCATTTGTTTCATCAAACAGCAACAACCAAAGTTCATGACCTAATACATAACATTCATACTTTATATTTTTAGCTCTGAGTTCTCTTGTAAGCTGTTGCATTTAATATTTTCTAAAAAGTCAACTTCAACAGTCATTTGCACTGGTGCCTTCAGTTCTACAGGCTCTCCTTGAAAGTCAACAAGTCTGAATTGCATGTCTTTCAAATTATGAGGACTAATGCGAACCCATTTACCTAAATGAGTTGCTATGACAGGAACGTTTGGAATGAACATTGAATTGACTGCATAACAGAAGGATTTATATTCTACTGAACCTTTACTATTAACTCCTGAAATACCTGTGACATTAGCTATTTTGACTCAATGTACAAACAATTACCATAACATACGTATGGAACAGATTTCATCTCAATCGTTTTGTCAACACTTTTCAAAGGAAATGTCATATGGTATGCTCCCAAAAGAAGTTGTACTCTATGACTCATTCTTGGTATCTTAAACTCCTTCGCATAACTGAACTTCAAAACTCCTGCAATAAGTTTAACATTCATTAAGTTTTCTTCGTTATCCTTGTTTATTGTAGTATTTATGAGAGCATTTAACACTCCAGCTAATGTTTCCATCTTATATTCTACATTATTGTGAAATCTTATTTCGTGCTTCTTTCCATCTATTTCAATCTCCATGAAATCTGTTTCATCTGTTATAACGAATGAAGCGATAGTATTGAAGTCAACCATTCTGAATGCAAGCGCCTCATTCTGTAGACCTAAGTTTGTTTGTAGCTTTACTGTCCCGTATTCGTTTGGGTCTGTACTTTGCAAATAGAACAACATTTTATTCTCATTAAAATATGAGTATAGCTGCATATGCGTATGAAGCTGACAGAGCTAAACGTTTATATTTTGGTCAATACTCTCTCACACTTACTGACAAATATATTGTTATCAGTGATGGAAATACCGAGAAATACATAACATGGAAGGACTATGAAAAGTTTGACCCTATTTTAACTCCATGTACTATGCCATTCATTGTAAATGGTGAAGTTGTCATGAAGAACGACACAACAGTATATAAGTCTGTATATGAAGCGTTAGAATATATGTTGAATTATAATCCCGAAAGATTTGACCCAAGCACTACACCATGTGCAATGCCTTTTATTAAGGACGGTGAAATCGTAAGAGTTCCGAATTCAACGGTTTACACAGCTGTTCAAAACAGTTTACAAAACATTTTAGCGAATATCTTTAATTCAGAAACTACAGAAATAAAATTACCGTATATAACAGATGCTAAAGAAATTAAATCAAAAACAACAACATTATTTACGTCACTTAATGATTTAATGACTTATATCATTAATATTCCTGCACCAACTACAGCATTTGATCCAAACTCGACGGTTTGCAGTGTACCTTTCATAAATGACAGTTCAGTAATTGTTTTAAGGGATTCAACAGTTAATGAATCATTAAAGGCTTCATTAATGAAAATCATTGATTTTAACTCATTCACGAATACATATAATTCATTCATTAATGTTTCATATGCTTCTAAAGAAGGTGAGCCAAAAACTATCGATAAAGCGGTGTATGAAATAAAAGCATCAACGACGAAATTGAATTCGTTAACTTTTGACGGTGATAGTTTCGTTAATGACATAACATCGGGGAAAACAATTTTAACGAAAGAATACTTAAAATCTCATGTTAGTGAGTTCGTTGAAATTGAAAAAGAAGGTGGAATTAAGTTCGATCCACTGAATTTCATTTTTCAGCTTAGCGAATGCGGGTGTTAGTTTCGCTGAATGGACAACAATACAGAGTGAAATAAATGCAATATGGACGTTTTTGGGGTCAAAAGCGGGAATGGGTGAGCTTGTAAATGCTGCAAGAACATTAGGTGAAACAGGAAATTTTGTAGATGGTTTTAAAAGACTTGTTTCAAATGTTTTAACAAACACAAAGAAATTATTTAGATATACCGTACATAACGGACGGATTTTCGAACAGATAGCAAACAAACCCTCCGGTTATGGCTGCGTTGATGATGGTTAGAGATATAAAACCACGTAACGACGGGAACGAAGATGAACAACAGGATACTGGTCGGGTTATTCGAGACATTAAAAACGTGTATCCTGAAGTTATTGATTTATTTAGAGGAGTTAATGATTCAATTTCAAAACATTCTATAACCCTCGATGAAGAGAATAAATTAACAGATTATATATTCGTCATTATTGCAGAACTAATGAAGAGAATAAATGAAAAAGGAATTGGTGATATCATTAATGTCAGCGATGTAATGATGAAAAGAAATTTTGACTCATTATTTACAAAACCGAAAACAGAATATAGTCTTTATGACGTAATTACCGAATTAATGAAAAAGATTAATGATAATAAGAGTTCTGGCGGAAGAGTTGAATTAGAAGTGAATGATGTTAATGAGAAATTAGCCGAAAAAGCAAACAAAAATGAGCTTTTAGCTCTGAGTGATAAAGTCAAGAACCACGTTCATTATATAACTTCAGACGAACAGATTATAACGGACTACCATGGATATTTAACACGAAGTGATGAAGTGAAGACGGAAGACCCCAATGAAAGAAGATATAAATACATTCGTGCTAAAGGTTATGATATACGCTGTACTGTACAGTATGACACGGGTAAAGCACCAGAAGCATTTGGTTATAACGATGAAATTTATGCCTCTACTTTCTCTGTTAACGGTGTATTAGTTGAACCAAGATTTACTTTGAGAGTTAAGTCAAAAATAACGTTTGAAGATGCTATTAAAAGTAAAGCTGACAAAGTTGAACTCGAAGCAATGAACAAAGTTTTGAAATCTCATAAACACAACATCTCCGATATAAATGAACTTCAAGCTACATTAGACAGTAAAGCCGACAAGAACCATACACATAAATCCTTCACTACTGTTAGAGCAGACGACATAATATTGAACTTTGACCTTGGTTCAAGTGCACCTTTAGAGAATCCAAGCACTAGTGTAAAAGATACACTAAACTCCTTAAATAGTAAATGTATGAATATCGAAGATCATGTCAGAAACTTTGAAGCACATGAACTACCAGCAATGTTAGATAATAAAGCTGACAAGAACCATACACATAAATCCTTCACTACTGTTAGAGCAGACGACATAATATTGAACTTTGACCTTGGTTCAAGTGCACCTTTAGAGAATCCAAGCACTAGTGTAAAAGACACGCTTAACAGTTTAGATAAGAGTTGCAGGAATATCGAAGATCATGCCAGAAACTTTGAAGCATATGAACTACCAACAATGTTAGATAAGAAAGCTAACAAAGCAGAGCTTCAAACATTAAAGACGGAAATGCTTCAAACATTATATCCTATAGACTCTATTTATACGTCAATGAACTCAACAAATCCAGAAACAGTTCTGGGTTTTGGTACGTGGAAGCAGATTGTAGATAAATTCCTCTATTGTGCGAACTCTTCAAAGCAAACAGGCGGTTCGAAGAAAATTAAAGAAGCAAACCTTCCACCGCACACTCATGCAGGAACTACAAACACAACAGGTAATCATTCACATTCAATAACAAAAAGAGGTTATACAAATCTTGCAGCAGGTTCGGATAGACAGGGAATGAATAGATCTGATATTTCAAGCGACCCAGTAGATTCAAGCACAGGTATTTTCTGTGAAACCACAGGAAATCATTCACACACTTTCGCAACAAATCCAACGGGCTCAGGTGAAGATTATATGCCACCATTTGTGACTGTATTCGCATGGTACCGCGTTCAATGAACGCGCTTGAGCCTAGAATAAAATCTTTAACTTTACATAAATGAGCTTGAAAGAAGTATTCGAACAACATCCATGGAGGTCATTTAAGAAGTTCAATGAAGCAGCAAAGAGTTCGGGATTTACTAACAGAGCTGAAGTGAAAAGGTTCTTTGACAAAAATGTTGTACATCAAACAAAAATAAACCCTTACGACTACTTTTTACCAATTTACTCCAACACTCCTGACGCATACCAATTTGACACTCTCATTCAAAGCAGAAAAGGAGGACATAAACCATTCCTCATCTTCATAAATGTTAACACTCGTAAAGCATATGCATATCCAATGAAGAACAAAGGAACTCGTGAAGTGTTAAGAGTTTTACAAAAGTTTGTAGCAGAACATAACCCAAGTACTTTAACATCAGACCAGGATTCAGCATACCTCAGCAACGAAATCACAGAATTTCTCATTAAGCATAACATAACTCACTACACTACTGAAGACCATAACCATAACATACTCGGCATCATAAACCGCTTCATAAGGACTCTCAGAGATTTAAATCAAGAGCGAGACTTTACCGAAGAAACAATGAAACATTTTCTCGAAGTATATAATTCCTCAACACATTCTACAACAGACATACACCAAATTCAATGACACAACAACAAGAAGAAAAGTATATACAAAAGAAACGAAGTCAAACACAAAATATCAGAAATTCAACACAATTTACCCTCATTCCTGGTACAAAAGTTCGTGTAGTTCTTGACGACAAACCGTTGACAAAGAAACGTTTAAGGTTAAGTCGAAATTATTATATCGTAGACTCTACGCAAGGTAATGGATATCTTATAAAAGCTGCTGACGACTCCATAGCGTTTTACCCTCGTCATAAATTAGTCGAAAGTAGTAATGGCAAACTTGCTAAAACCATTGACGAAGCAAAGCGAGGAGTGGTTATTGAAATACTTGGCTATAACACAAACGATGACGCTTATAAAGTAAGATATGAAGGAGGCGTTGAAGATGTTATACCATCTAAGAACTTGAGAGAGTCGAAGCCAACACATCTGGGACCATTAGAGTGGGAGTACTGGAAAGACAAAAATAAGCCAGAAAGAATAAGAAAATTCTTCTAAACTTTTTCATTAGATGTAAATCAGACAAAATATATTTTAGGTGAAGAGGTGAGATCTCACCTCTTTTTTCACCCTCATGAATTTTCATGAATTTCCTTAAGACAGAAAAAATAACGTTAGTTTTATTTTTTTCTAACTTTTTATCTTGTAGGTAAGAACAGAAATGTCAGTCGAAGCAAAAACATTCACTAACAAATCTAATGGCGAAACATTCACAAAAGGCACTTATAACGGTATTGAAGTCTTACGTAGAGACAAGGATGGTTATATAAATGCAACAAAGATGGCAAGAGAAGCAGGAAAGTTAAACCATTTAAACAGATTTCTCAATAGTGCTAAAATGCAGGAAATTCTTGAGTTTTGGTTGAAAGAATACGGTCGAGCCAAAAGTGGCTCGACATCAAAACAAGCATTTTATGAGCTTACAAAGGGTGTTATGAATGAATTCAAAGGTATTTACATACATCCTGACCTCGTTCATTTTGTTGCTGAATGGTGCTCTGTAAAGTATGCATTTTATGTCAAAGATATTATGGACTCCATAGACAAGAAAGTTCATGAGAAGTTAGATGAAGAAGAACTCGAAGATACAGTAGAGAATGCTAAACCTTTGTTCGAACAAGAAGTTAGAAAAATGTGTGAAAAACAATTAGAACATGAACGTGAGTTATGTTATGGTTATAGAGATTCTCCATTCGAACTAGACCAATGGGAACAAGAAAATTTAAAGAGAGAATTTAGAGAATATGAACTCGCTAAGATAGCATTAGAAGCTGCAGAAAAGAAGTTAAAAGCTTGGGGTCGTTTTGTACAAAAATATTGTGAGTAAATGAACCATTTATTTTTATTGAATTCACCTAAAATATATTTTTGGTCAAAGCTTCCACGAGAGAAAAACGAGAGAAAAGATTCCTCATTCGCTAAGGATTCCAAAAATGAAAAAATCATTGATTTCGGCTGAGAAAAAACAGCAAAACCCTTCTTCCACGGGAACAAAGAAATAAAGAAGAAAGAAAGAAGAAAGAAAGTAAATTTTTATTTATTCCCGTGGAAGATAGAGCACCTTTATGACACTTTTTATTCACGACAAACAAGACAAACAAAGAAAATAAGAAAATACGGCGCTGTCGCGGTTCGAACCACAGACCCTGACCCCTCCATAACACCACCTTAGACCACTGTGCTACGTAGCCTGTCGACATAAGAATTTATAAATTGCATATTTGACGTAAATTTATTTCCATCTAGCTTCCCACCGCATAAGATATTCATACGTGTTTGTAAGACATTCACAAAACTTCTTTTCTATTGCATCTAATCTTGCGTTATTTTTTTCAATAACTTGTCTGTATTCTTCATCATCTCCAGCAGTGTTTGGGTCTTCACGTTTAAAATATTCATTGTTAACCAATTTTTTATCTACAAATTTTATTAGTGTTTGATTCACTTCGTTATGATAACGGTCATATTCTTTCAATACGTAAGTGAAGACAAAATGCGTCGTACCTTCAATCTTAAAGCTTAAAGAACTTTCAACACAGTTTTGAGGGTCTGTCAGTGCGTCAATGAGATAGTATTCGAAGTCAGTCAATAATCTTTTTAAAGTCATTTCATACAGGATAAAATTTAATGTTGTGAAGAAATAGTGTTTATCTCAGAAAAAATAAAGTTAGTTTTATTTTTATTTATTTTTTTATTTTGTATGTAAAGACAGTAATGTCAACATCAGAGAACACAACAATTGCTATCGTTCATGAAGCCATAAATGAAGAATACGAGTACATACAGTATAACAAACAGTTACGTCTCATTCGTTCGGTCAAAGACGATATGTACCAGATGCAAAGTATAATGAATGCTCTTCTTTCTACAAAGCAAGCATATCATTGGTTTGAAAACCAACAGGCAAAAGAACTTTTAGAAGAATTTCCTCATATGATTGCTTCCCTCGGAAAACCGAGGGAAGAGATTCCGTACGAAAATCGCAAGAATTTGGCTCCTGGTTTGAAAGGTTATTATGTTCATAGACTTTTAGTAAATGCTGTAGCAATGTGGGCTTCACCTCGTTATGCTTGTTATATTTTCATGATGTTAGATGAACTATATAAAGCAGAACGTGGAGAGATGGAAAAGAAACTTCAAGCAAAAGATGAAGTCATTGAATCCAAAGACAAAAGCATACAGAAAAGAATACCACGTTCAGTACCAAAAGGAAAGGAAAAGAACTATAAGTATATGATTTACGCTGAAGAGTTGGAGAAAGAAGAAGATAGAGATATGGTTATGTTGCATTTAGTGAGAAGAAACAACAAGAGCTTTTATGACTTAGCTAAGATATATAAATCTGACAGAAACTGATTCTATCGTGAAAACTTACCGATTTCAATGACACCGAATGAGCAAATAAAGGAAATTGTCAAAAATACTCTTCCTCAAACACACTATGACATCAAAGGTTGCACAATACTTACATTCAAAGAAGACTTAACATTACTGAAAGAAAAGATAACAAAATATTTCGACAACTTCAAAGAGGAAGAATGAACAAAAATATTTCATAATTGCCATCCTCCTGTGTTGTTGTCTAAATGTCATTTCATACAAAATAAAACTAACTTTATTTTTTCTGACTTTCACAAAAGACCAAAAATAAACGCTTTACATGTATTTTTCAGCAACTTCGTCAAATAATTTTATAGCTTTATCTATCTCATCTACTTCAAACGTTTCTTTACCTTTCATGGGAGCACCATACATTTTCTCAAAAACTTCAAGCAGTTCTGTTTCTGCAGCTCTCATATCATTAACGAACACAACCTTGACTCTATTGACTGTACTGTCATATCTTTGAGTTATATTATATGTTCTTCCTATCTTATATCTCTTTGTATTGAAGTCCTTCGGTTTCTGAACAATATAAAGTAAGCCTTCACTGCAACGTTCCGTATCGAATGAATCATAAGTTATGAAGTTATATCCAACAACTGGGTCAATCCATAGAAGAATTATTGGTATAAGACTTTTGTCTATAAGATATGCTCTTGTTCCATGAAATGCTACTGATATCATAAGCTCAGGATTTCTTGTCAAAATTTTCTGAGTAGAAGCAATTCTAACCCAGTCCTTTGCTTTCTTTCCAGATGGTATTATAATGTCTGACAAAGAATATTTGTTGTATTTCTTTGAGTATCTTACGTTTAAATCACCTATTCTAACCACTTTGGTGTCATTGTCAATCTTTCTAACTGTTTCAAACTCAATGTTTGACATTACTGTCTTTACATACAAGATAAAAAATTTTCTTAGAAAAAAATTAGCGTTATTTTTCTTTCATAAGGAAATGTCAAAAATTCATGATTTTCGAGAGTTTTAGACCATGTTATAAATGAGGGTAGAAATTAGGTTAGATATACCCATCTACTCTAAACATTATTTTTTGGTCATGGGCTATGCCCGCCGCTTTGCGTCTTTATGAAAACATTTATGAAAACATTTATGAAAACATTTACGAAACATTAACGTAAACATTAACGATAAAATTTATTTCCTGGACTGTTGTCAAAATGTCATGTTGTCATCATTTTTAAAAGAAGTTAATTAACCTGGTAGCACATGGTGACGTGGTGACACCTTCAGTTCTTCAAAAATATATTTTTGCTTAAATAACTTCAGGGTCTATTTCTTCAACCATTTCACTTTCTTCGTCAATGTCAATAGAAGCTTCTTCAACCTTTGGTAAGAATTTCTGTATAACATCTTTGTTCGTTATTGTCTTCAGAGATGAAGGATAATATTTCACAGATGTTTCACCCTTCTTATATTCTTTCTGTTCGGAAAGATTTAAAGCAATACTGAAGAAGTCAATATTAGAGTTCTTTATAACAGTATAATGAGTATCTTTGACATTCACGAAGAAACTCTTTTGTTTCAAAACTACTGCTAACTCTTGTGAAGTATAACGTTTGCGGTCAATGACGATAGCTAATGGTCTGACATACTGACCAAACTTAGATTCTTTCACAAACTTCTTGTTAAAGATAACATTAACGTTTGAAGCATTATTGAACTCATTCTTGATGGCAGTAGCGAGAGCATTGTATGAAAAGAACTTGCAATCTTGCATGTGTTTCATTAAAATAAAAATATTAAATTATTTTGAAAAATAACTTAAAAAAATCTAATCTAATTTTTTCAAAAAATATTTTTTTATTTCCTACTAAAGATGTATCGGAAGTTGTCTAAGTTAGAACACTCGGAAATAAAACAACTTCTTACAGAAGCTAACATAGATGTTGCAAAACATTACGCAACAAACAAAAAAGCACTCGCTGACATCCTCAATGACTATAATGGTACAATAAGTTACGATAGAATTCATGAGTTCATAAAGCCGCAACGCGGCGAGGACGAAGTCCATGCAAGAGCATTTCCTTTAAATGACGTTGCTATTGACTTATATCATAGACGTTCAGTACCTCATGAAGTAAGGCGTGAGATGTTTGACATAACAAATGCAAACGTTGGTGAAACAAGAAGAAGAGACGACACACTGAAACAACAGAGAAGAGAGATGTTTAAAAATGCTATAGAACAAGTTCGCAAAGCTAACGATGTCATTCGTTCCATTGACGACAAACCAAAAGAAGGTGAGAGATGGTTAAAGAAAGATGAAGAGAATAGGAAGAGGAATGTTAAGACAGGCAATAGACTCATTGACTTTAACATCGAAGCTTTAGATGAACCAAACAGAGACTACTTACACAAACATTTCGGTAAGGTTTTCATGAGACTCTTAGAGAAGATTAAAATAAACTCCCAACAAAGATGGATGGTATGTTATAAACTTGGTGGAAAGTATGACTGTTCTACGTTAAACCTCAATAATATTGGAACATTACTACATCAGCTCTTGAAGGAGAACTTTATATCAGAGATAGAAGCAAATGCTGCAGGTATTGTTGAAATGCACTATGACTTCTTCTTGACAAACATAAAGAATCTTACTGAAATAAAGATGTATGATTTAACAGAATATGAAGGCTTAACGATGTCAGATGTTAAGAAAGGAAAGCCACAGAAGCGACCATATAGAGATGAAAGCACACTGACAAATGACCAGAAAGCCATTTTGGAAGCTCTTAAGCAAACAGGAAACCCAGCACTTATAGAAAGCTTTTGGAAAGATAATGGTGAAAAGAAGTTTTATAAGAAGAGAAGCGGTCAGTTATGGAAGTATCTTTGCACATTACCTATAAATCTTGAACGCTACCAAATCTTCAATGAACTGAACAAAAGAACTGCAACACTTATGACAGAAGACAATTGTTTCGTTTATGCTTGCATTCAAGCTGGAGTAGATGAAGAAACTATTGACCACATGAGAGAAGTCATTCGTGTTAGAGACTTTCCTCAAAGTAAAGTACAAGAAATTTCCGATTCAACAGGTATAGCATTTAATGTTACCATTGGTTATTTCAATGACTCAAGACATAATGAAATAAAGAGATATATACCAAAAGAATGTGAAACTGTTCGAACTATTGACTTACTTCTTGTTGAAGACCACTACATGCTAAATGAAAGACTTCCAATGACAACATATTTCATTCACAACTATATAGAAATCTTGAAGGAGTGTGGTGGAATGAACATTGAGAAACAGATGAAGATTTATACAAAGAGAGAAGATAAATATGTAGTTCGCATGGATAGAACTACACCGCTATGGGATGTTATGAAAACATTGTGGGAGTGCAAATATTTCGAACCTATTTCTTATGGAGAACTTTTCACATATACTACTGACTTATATAAACAGAACCTTGCACCATTTAAAGATTTGACATATGCTCCAAAGTATTGTGTACAACTGAAGAAGAAAGCCGAGTCAAAAGAAGTAAATAAAAATAAGTGCAAGTTCATTCCTGAGCACGTTTTCTTTGCTGACTTTGAGTGCAGTACTGATGGCTTTCATAAAGCTTTTAACATATGTTATGACAGTGAAGATGGTTCAGTGAGTGAAAGCATTTGGGGTCAGAACTGTGCAACAGAATTTTTGGAGCGACTTCCTGACAAGAGTTTAATATATTTCCATAACCTCAGTTATGATATAAACTTCATCTTAAGACACATGACAGAAGTGAAAGGAACTCCCATCATTAAAGGTTCACGAACAATGCAAATAACTGGCTTATATAAAGGAAGGGCAATTATTATAAAAGACTCTTACAGTGTTATAAATAAGAAGCTTAAACTATTTCCTGCTATGTTTAACTTACAAACAGGACCGAAAGAAGTATTTCCATATAACTACTACAGCAGTGTTTTGTTAGCAAATGACAACAGAACTGGTGTCATTTCTGAAGCATGTAAGTTTGTAAAAGATGCAGATACATTCATGAAGAACATAGATTCCATCAAAGGTTGCAGAATAGATGAGAACCACTTCGACTTAGAAAAATATAGCACGTTTTACTGCAAACAAGATGTAAGAATTTTAAGAGAAGGTTTTGTTAAGTTCCGCAATGACTTATTGAAAGAATTTGATTTAAACGTTTATGACTACGTTAGTATTTGTTCAATTGCTAACAAATTATTTGAGAACAGAGTGTACTTCCCGAATGGAAATTTATATGACCTCTCAAATAAACCAAGAGAATTTATTTCGAGATGCATTCAAGGTGGAAGATGTATGTTGTCAGATAACATTAAACAAAAGAGCAAAAAGAAACTCATTGCTGACTTCGACGCTGTTTCATTATACCCTTCAGCAATTGCAAGACTCTATACTTTAGAAGGTATACCGAAAGTATTGAAGGAAGAAATGTTAAGCACAGAGTATCTCATGAGACATTTATTCGATGACGACCAAAAGGAACCCATTGGTGAAAAGTTTATGTCTGGCTTCTTTGTTCTCATTAAGATAACAGAGATTGGAATACATAGACACTTTCCTTTAATAGTTTGTGACCCTGAACTAAATCCAGAACTTAACGTTCCCAGAAGTTCAAACACTTGCTGTTTAATGTATGTTGACCATATAACATTACAAGACCTCATAAAATATCAAGGTGTCAAATGTGAAGTGTTGCAAGGATACTATTACGATGGAAACAGAGATATTAGAATAAGAGATGAAGTAAAGAAGTTGTTTGAGTTAAGGTTAAAGTATAAGAAAGAAGGAAATCCTTTGCAAGAAAATATAAAGCTCATTCTGAATAGTATTTATGACAAAACTATTCTATCTCCTATTGAGTCAAAAATAACCATAGTAAATGACAAAGATGCTATAAGATATGCCATCAGAAACTACAACCATATAGTGAAGTTCGAAGGTTTGGATGGTTCAGATAAAACTATTTTCAAGCTAACGAAAAGCATTTGCAGACACTTTAACTTCTGTCCACTTGGTGTTAACATTCTATCTATGTCGAAGAGAATAATGTGTGAAGTATTCTGTACTGCAGAGGACTTAGGAATGGACATCTTTTATAGCGACACCGACAGTATGCATCTCTACAATGAAGATATCCCTCGTTTAGCTGAAGAGTTTGAGAAACGTTATGGAAGAGTTCTCATTGGTAAAAACCTTGGTCAGTTTCATAGTGACTTCGCAGAAATAACACCTGGAAAACAAAGTTTAGCATACAAGTCAATATTTTGTGGAAAGAAGACCTACATAGACTTACTCACTAACGATTTAAATGAAGTTGCATTTCACTGCAGAATGAAAGGCGTGAAGCAAGATGTTATTGCTTTAACCGCTAATGAAATGTTTCCTGAAGCTATACAATGCTATTACAATGAAGATAAAGGTTTAATGGTTCCGCAAGGAAAATTTGACAAAGACTCTGAGTTCAGTGTCATGAAACTTTATAAAGCACATTATGACGGTCAAGAGATTGGATTTGACTTATGTAAGTCATGTCAACCTTGCTTTGAAGAGAAGTTTAACTTCTCAATAACGACTAAAACAAGCTTTATTCGTAAGTTGAAGTTCTGAGGTCATTTATTTTTGTCAGCAATGAGGTCATGAATGAGGTCATGAATGAGGTCATGAATGAGGTCAGCAATGAGGTCATTTATTTTTGTCAGCAATGAGGTCATTCGTGATAAAAATAAAACTAGCGTAGATTTTACAATACTGCGATGGTAGAGTTTAAGAGTTGTGCTTCAATGTAGAGACAGTCCTTATGGTCTGGAGGTAAGAACACTGGGCAGTTATGGTCATGAGTGGAGAACATGTCTATCCAAAACTCACGATTGAAGCCAGTTAATTTATAGTATTTAGGGTTAGGAAGTGGTGTAGTTCTTGTATGACCAATGAACTCATTTTCAACTCCCTTACTTAAGTTTGAATATAATATAGCTTGCTTTCTATCCCAAATGCCAGGTGTTACAATCTTTGAAAATTCATTTTTCCTCGGAAGCATTGCATCATAATTGAAAACATTCTTGAAATCATCACTTGGTTCAGAGATTTGAAATCTTATACGTAATGGATTTTCTTTCTCTTTAGCTACTTCATTGAATGGTGAGAATACAACAAACTGACAGTCATGTGTTCCATCTTCATTTTCATTAAATTCATAATGAAAGTCTATAAGTTGTGGCTGACTACCTTCTTCTTTCAGTTGTGCAAGAAACTCACGTAAAGGCTGTAAAGTTTGTACTTCAATGTTGAACTTTTTCTCGAACATCTCATTAAATGAAATCATACATTGTTGCAATGTTGTATCATCTTTAAAGTATTTGTATATGTGAATGTTTTGGGCGCTTAAAGACTGTTCGTCATTTTCTATCTCGACTTGAAGTATAAAGTCAACTTTCCTAAATGCACGTGTTATATACATAGATGTTATGCCAATGTACTTCTCTTCATTTATGTTCACAATCCAGTCTGTTGGAAACTTAAACGTTACTCTGTTCCCCTTTATTTTGACGTCAGAGTTTTCACTACTGAACGCAACAGATAAAGGTATTTGTCTATACATTTAGTTCCGATAAAAATAAACCATTTACTCTTTCTTTGCTTCAGCTTCTTTAGCTTTTTGTTCTTCCTTTGCTTTTGCTTCTTCTCTAGCTTTCTTTGCCAGCAAACGTGGGTTCTTTTGTCTTCCAGCAGCTAATGCAGCAAGTTGTTTTTCACTAAGTTTTCTCTTTGGTCTCTCTGGCTTTTGTTCTTGTTTTTGTTCCTTCAGTTCGGATAAAATTTGCTCGCGAATTTCTTTCTTCAATGCTTCAACATCTATGACCCCTTGGGTCTTGTCCGTAGGCTTGTCTGAGTCATTTGACTGCAGATAAAAAACAAAATTAAAACTTTAACTGATGTAAAATGAGCTTGTCAAAATCAGAGCGAGAGTCTATTATATTAAATGACGCAAGAGGAATACAACATCCTTTCTATTACGTAAGTCAGAGTAAAGATGGTAAAATATACGTAAGAAAAAGAAAGGTTCCATTAGCGAATGCAGAAAGCGACAACATTAAGGTATGGCAAGGGTGAAGTCCACGAAGCCCATATAAAACCTTCTGTTCAAACTGAGCCACCAAATAGAACCAGAAGAAAAGAAGCCAGATGTACTTTCAATAACGAACCAAGAGCTTATTGCAAAGTTCGTGAATTTCATTGAAAAACAAACCGAGTCAAAGAACCCTGACCCCCAGTGAAAGAAGTTGAGACAAAAGAGAATGTACAGTTCATTGAAAATGTCAAGAAACAACTTCCACCACGAATGCCAAGAAGAAGAGTGAGAATAATGAAGTAAATAGATATTTTTATCCGAAGTAAATACATGCAGAACGAACAGTTAAACGAATTTACTCCAGCAGAGCATATTCATCAGATTCGCTCATATTTCGATATCATAGACAATGCAGTTCAAATTGGTGACACTAATAGAAAATATTCTGACGCAAAGATTCCATCACAACCTGGAACTGCTAAAGATAACACATGGGTAACATTCAATCTCACCTCCTGGTGAAAATATGTTGGACCTTTACAATACATTCATTACGTATAAAATGGAAGGTCAATTTATTGTAGATAAAGAAATTGGTTCAGGTTCCAATAAAACAAACCCACCAGGATTTTGGATTGGTTTCGATGACGCTTTCTATGCAGTTGCTGGATATCAAATCCTTGCAAATGGTCGTATCGTATATTCTCAAGACAACGCAAGAGAAGAAGCATATATAACTTCAAACTCACAAACTACCGAACAAATAAAGAAAGTAGATGTTTTCTCAAAGACTCGACATGAAGATGTATGGAGTCATTCGGGAACATGCAGAACAGGACAAATTGTTAGTGGTCCAATTACAGCAGGAAAATCATTTGATTTTAAGCTTCGTTTAAGAATTCCTGTTAGAAGATTCCTTCCATTAGAAGCTATTCGATTTATTCCAGCTTTTGCAGGAAACATTCAGCTTAAAGTAAAGTTCAGTAGCGACGCCTTACAATGCACATCTATATCTGTAAAATGATATCATTGCTTTCAATCCAACTCTTAAAGTTGCATTTGCTTCAGATTCAAATCCACCGACAAATAAATTTGTTCCATGGAATGAACCATTCACTATGATAACGAAGGCAGTAGAAGCTAGTGGAACAGTTACTATTACAACTGTAACCCAGCAACTATTTCGAACAAAGATGGATTTTAATGAATGTTTCATTCATCCAAAGTCATTCTCTTTAGACCCTAACATTTATACAGAACTTGTAGAACATTATACAAACGAGGCTTTATGTTTTCCTGTTAAAGTTATGGATTGGATTCCTATGGACGGTTCATTCTCAAAGAATACAGATAGTTCAAGTGCAACATTTACAGCAGCTTATACGCCTATTAATGTTAAAAGTATTTGGGCACTATTTAGAAAGAAAGACAACTATTATGTTAATTTTGAGAACCCTAAGTTTAAATATCTTCAGCTTTCCATGGGAGCTTATGGAAATATGCCTGCAGAACCTGAAAAATCATATGGACCTGTATTTTATGAAATGGTTGCGAACGCTGCAATACAAACAATGATATGATAGGATTTAATGAAGATGTTATGAGGTCATTGGTGGATGATGGTAGTGTGGAACATAAATGGGATAGCTATGACAACACACATTTCTTATGTGGTTTTCCAACAGAAGTGGACTTTTGCTTCCAGCAAGGTCAAACATCTACTGCTCCAATAACATACAAATTGTCTGTTAAAGGACCTATTGAACTAGCAACTGAAAATGTACCAAAGCCACTTATTGGATTTATGAGGGATTGTTGCTTTGCCATTCAGGTGCGTGCTAATGGAATCCCAATAATAAGATTAGATGACTATAACTTAGCTACGGACGACAGTGAGGAATAAAGGATGAACGTTTATTTTTAAAGCTTATAAATGAGTTCTTCATCAAGCTCTCGTGAACCTTCACCATCTATGAAACAAACTTTACCAAACGATTATGGAGCACCTATTGAATATTTCTTACGAGCTGCACAATGGCAAAGAGCAGTCTCACCAAGGTTAGGTGTTCCACCAGCTCCTGTCAAAAATAGCATTTGGTCAAGTCCTTATATAAATATGGTCTCCCACTAGGTTTGCTAGCTACAGCAGGAGCAGTTATGATGTTGAAAAAGAAATAAAGCAAATGTTGTAAATAATACTGAAGTAGCTGAAGTTAAACAAACTCCAACACCTTCACAAGCAAAACCTTCAATGACTCCTGAACCTATGGAAGTACAAACTCCTGTTCAAAGTCAACTCCTAAACCGACTCCAACATTTAAACCAGAACCTACTCCTCAAATAAATCGTAAAACTCCTGCGTTTCCTTACTGAAAAATAACGTTATTTTTATTTAATATTAAAATTTTATTTGATTGAAATGACGACTAAAGTCACTGAAGCAATGAAACAAAAGTTTTGGTAGAATACATTAAATCAGGAACTATTCCAGAAGGTTTTTACATTCATACTATGAAGGATGTAGAGTTCAGTTTAGAAAGATAAAGCAACCATTAGATAAAGAAGGAATTTGAGAAAGATTAAACTTCATGAGGACAACATTGCTGAACTTAGGAAGAAGTTAGAAGAGTTGGAGAAAGGAAGAGAGTTATAAAGCAATGATTCAACAGGGTAGAAAAGAGGTAAAATGAGGTGAGATTCTCACCACTTCACCTAAATTTATTTTTTGTGCTATGTTTTCATACGTGTGGAGTGTGATATCATTAATTTTAAGTTTATTTTTTATTTTATTTTTTATTTTATTTTTATATAAATGACAAAAACTATTGAGATAACAAACTACAAACGGTCATGAGTTCAAGAATTTGTTCTTCGTTCCTCGTGAAAATACATTCTATCAGATACGAGGGAGAAAGGGTAAAGTTTTTGAGCGTTTATGAAGGAATGAAGAATGGAAAGTTTATACAAGCATACGATACAAACGGTAAGCGTGTTTCATTAGCTTTGTCAAAACTTACAGGTATAAACTATGACAGTGATTTTGACCTATATGAAGAAGAAAGTGAGTCAGAAGATTATGAGCTGTTATATGAAGCACAGCAATGGGAGGAGTTGCAATACTTTTGTAAGTGAGAACGTTTATTTTTTACATTAGTGAAGTCGTTTGTGAAAACGTTAGTGAGGTGAAGTGGTTGGCGGCTTTGTAAATATTTAATGTTAAGTTAGTGTTGTCGTTTGTGTTGTAAAATATACGTTAACGGTTTCGTAAAGTGTCAAAACCGCTAAGTGGTGTACGGAGGCGCGCAGTGCCTCAGTACACATGATATGTATACTAACTTATATAGACTGGGATAGTATATCTGCTAGACTATTATATAGTGGTGCTATAAGAGTTCATGACATTGAAACACTTATGTCAAAAGTTTTATATCTTAACTATACAAATGTTTTCAAAGAGGACATAGAAAAATATATTGAGGGTATAGAGTTTGTGAGATGTCATTGGACAGAGTTGTATGAAAAATATAAAGACAAGGAAAATGTTTTCTTTATAGTGGACCCGCCGTTCTATAACACATGGGATTTTCATACCAAGTAGACTGGACTTTGAGAGACTCTTTAGAAACTTTAGACGTTATACATAACCATCCATGCTTTTACTTTACATCCGATAAAAGTGGTTTGGAAAACCGTTATGAGATGGTTAGAGGACATACATGACTATGAGTTTTATATATGACAAAATAGAATATGAGAGAGGTCCTATAAACTGGAGAAAGTGTAACAATAAAGAAATTTTATTAGTAAGTAAATGTGGTTTGAAATAGGACTACTTGTTTTAGGTTTTTTCCATTGTGTCATTTATTTATTTGACGTGGCAGAAAAGTACAGAGAATATGAAGATGAACCAATGCCTGCAAATGTTCAGCATATGTACTCGTAAGAGATATTTTTATCTAATATTAAATGGACGCACAGAACTTAGCGAATGCACAGCAACCTGGACAACCAAACCCAGAGAATATTCCAAATGAAGTTAGAATACAAACTGCAATGGCAAACTATGGTCAAGTGCCAACAGATGTACAAATGCAAACTGCCATGTCAAATGACGCTGCGTTAGGTTTGCCACCATGGTATGCAAATATGAGATGGAAAGAGTTTTATACAAACCCTGAAGTGGGATATAAACAACTTTATGCAGATGACGCGAACACAGGAGTTGACCAGAATATGTTTTCTACCAGAGGAGAAACAGAATGTATGAGCTCCAGTTAAAGAATGCTATGGAACTCAACAGGAAACGCAAAAGACTAGGTGGACATTAGATTTTTACATATAGTAAAATGGGTTTCTTCAGTAAGATAGGAAACTTCTTTCGAAATGTTGGAAGAGGTATATGGAATGGAAAAAATCTGTCGGAAGAGGAGTATGGAATGGTGTCAAAAATATTGGTAAAAGAGTAGGTCAGTTTGTTGGTATTATACCTAAAGACCCTGAACCAGAAGAACAATCTCCTGTTATACAACAGCCTGAACCTGCACCACAGTCTAGTTGGCAACCACAACCGGTATATTAAAAAATTATATTTTTATCGTTCGATAGTAGTTGTATATGAAACTAAGTTCTAAGTAAAACGCATGTATAATGGAATTATTCTTTTTCTTCCATCTGTAGTAAACCATACTTGAAAGTCTGAAATACTTCCACTTGGTGGTTTCGTATAACTTTGTAGGTTTTTCGTAAAGTCATTTGCCAAGCATAAGAAAGAGTTTTGGGCGCCAGAAAATGAAGCATGAACATATAATAGCATCTGGGTCGAAAACATCTTTAAATAAATATGGTTCATCTCTTGCATATCGACTGTAGATATTTTGCTAAAGGAGGTTCAACTTTCTGATTTAACATTCTTTGCAAATAATACCATGACATTGCAGTGAATTCTGTATATATTTGTTCGTCTTTCTTTGGATTGTCTTCGTAGATTTGAAATGACACTTGTGAATTTTGTTTGTCATATACAATTCTCACATAAAGTGTGCTATCGGTATTCGCATATTCATCAGCATATTTTGCATAACATGAATTTATTTTATCTTCTATATTTTTTAATGCAGCCTGTAGAGAAGAAGATGAGAGGTCAACTTGTATTAGCTCAATTTCTTCCCACATTTTTCGTTGCCCTTCAGATGTATAATCTATATGAAACCTTACATAAATGGAAAACTTTATCTTCTACAGACACAAACTTTATTCTTCGAAAGCCAATAGCTTTTGTGACAGATGGGTCTCTTAACCATCTTAATGGGTAGTTCAAAACGATAGCCTTCATGCTTACGGTATCTGTCTCAAACTTTTGACCGACATTAGTAAAAAGTTCATCTAATGGTTTAGTTGTAGCAACTCTAGAATTTTCTTTTTCTATTGGAAGCATATTTTATCTATAATAAAAATGTCAAATGAAACAGCGTCTATGAGAGAAATACAACACAACCGACAACTCATTTTGCAAGCTCTAAATAAGAACACAACAAACTTTTCAAACTATTCTAAGATATCTGAGTCATTGAAAGGGGGTGACTTAAAACTGACAATAAACCCAATGACAGATGAGTTTCTATTTCAAGACAATAAGAACAATACTGTCTGTATAAATCCAACAAAAGGAACTTTAAACGAGAAACCTATAAATGAACTTCTTTTGAAAGCAGATGTTGACAACAAAGCTGACAAAGAATATGTAGACGATGCAAAGCAAAAGAAGAAGAAAGAGCTAACAATGCTTATGCAACAAAAAGAACATACTCATCCTGAACTAGCAGACAAAACATATGTTGACAATAAAATGTCAAGTGAAGTGACAAGAGCTGAAAACGAATATTCTAAAAAGACTCATATACATTATATTAACCAAATACCAAGTCTTAAGGAAACATTAGAGGCAAAAGCAGATAAGACTCATACACATTCTATATCTGATATTAAAAAACTTACAAGAAACCTTAAACAGGAAAAGTGCCGTTGGACATACACATACCATTGCGAATATTACAAACTTACAAGAAACCTTAAACAGGAAAAGTGCCGTTGGACAGACACATACATCTTCTGAAATAACAGACTTAAACGTTAGCCTTGAAAATAAAGCAGATAAAACATATGTCAATGAAATATACCAAAGTTTGATAGGAACAAAAAATATTGAAACTATTGTTGGTGACTTTTCTGTCAATGAAGAAAATAAATATTTTAGATGGCAGTTGGTACAGTCCTTAGAAAATGGTACATGGTATAAACTCATTCCGAAAAATAACAATGAAATGTATGTAAGCTATAAAAAGAATGATGGTACACAAGTTAAAGTTCCATTAGACAACAACTGCTACTTAAACTTATATGGAGACGACAAAAGAAATATTTAAGAGTTTATGAAATGGTGGATATGATATTACCTGACCCAGCTCCGGCACCACATTATTATGACTATGGAGATGAACGACAGAACACACATGTAGATGAACAAAAGCTAACATTATATTTAGATTATTATAGATATAAAAGATATAATGCAATAGAAAAAACGAGAATAGTATATTATTATACAGATGACAGAAATAAATATTATAGTCAAGATTTTACCTACCCTGAAAACATAAGATTATATTATAAAAAATATTCTGACACAAACCAGAAGAAACCTGAAATAGCTGCACTATATTTTAAGTTCAAAAAAGACAATCCTATAATATCTCATATGTTTGATTTAATGAACCCAGTAGGTTCTATTTATACATCTATGGATGCAAGAGGTCCTCAAGTAATGTTTGGTGTTGGTGCATGGGAACAAATAGTCGACAGGTTTTTGTATTGTGCAAACTCTTCAAAGGAAACAGGGGGAAGTAAAACGATTTCAGGTGAAAATTTACCTGCACACAATCATTACATAGATTTAAGTACATCTCAAGCAGGTTGGCATAAGCATAGATATTGGGATTGGTCAGGAATGACAAAAGGTAAAGGATATGATGTTAAAGACGACGTTAAGTTTGCTATAAATTGTTACTGGGATGACACGCAGGGAGAAGGAAACCATACACATTTCGTTTCAGGATATACGCAAACAACGGGACAAAGTAAAGAATACATGCCACCTTACATGACAGTTTACGCATGGTATAGAATTGCTTAGTCGTCATTTTCAACTTCTTTAGCATATTCGTCAGGAGTTGTCTTATATTTGTTAGGAACTGTCTTTGAAAGTATACCACCTTAAACTTTGACAAGTTTGAAACGAGGTCTGACAATATTAGTTTTATCTTCTGCTTGCAGTGTGTACATTTTGCCATGTTTGCCTAAAACTTCATAATATTCTCTTGTATACTTTCTTCTATTTTTACGAACACGAATGTGAGTACCTGTCGAGTTCCCATTGTTGTCATAGTCAATAGTATTTTCATATGGGTCGCGTTTAGGTATTTCTATTTTTACTTTGTCACCTTTCTGAAGTTTGAAGCCCGGCATTCTTTCTTGTTTGTCTCTTTTGACTAAATTATTAAATATATAGTCTTTCTCTAAGTCAGGGTTGTTTTTTATTTCTTCGGGGGAGTGGTTTCCCAAACCTTTTTGTTTACGGCTATTGTAAATATTTAAAACTTGTCTCATCTTTGCCTGGGAGAAGTGTCTATATTTGTCGTCATATGACATTTCATTTGCTTCACCACCTTGTGGTTGGTTTAAGTCTCTTAACATTTTTATACAACCGTCAATGACACCAAGAGCAGAATGGTTTTGGTCGACAATGAAATATTGGTTTACATTTTTTGAACGCAGATAGTTTTTTACATCATCTGATTTGAAAGAACTTTCACAGTCAGATGTCAGTTTTGTTGGATGGTATTTGTCAACGAATATTGTCAAAGCTGCTAAGATATCTAAAATAGCTTTGGACTGTAATGGTATGGCTTCACCCCGTATCTTGTGTTTTTGACCAACAAATATTAACCAGTATGGTGGTCCATCTTCTCTATACCTCGAATGTTTTTTCCAAGATATCCATAAACCAAGCATTTGGTGTTGAACTAAAGATTTTTATCATGAGTGCTTTCTTTGTCGCTTTAGAAACATAGGGGTCCTTGTTCGGATTCGTCATTTTTTACCCTATAAGAAATGGGTTTATTTGGCGCATTAGCAGGAGTCGCATCTAGATTTTTACCCGCAGTGGGAACAATAGCCAGAGGTGCATTTGGAATTGGAAGGAAGATTTTGAGTACATTAGGTATACTTAAAGAGAAAGCACAACCTATTATACAAACTGTACAGAAAGGTTGGGATGTAGCACGAGATGCAACAAATCTTATTCCAAATCCTGAAACAAGAGGAAAAGTTCAAGGATGGATGGACAATGTAGGAAGACAAGCAGGAAACTATTATAACAAAGCAAATGACTACTATAACCAAGCAGGACACTATATGGACCAAGGTGAAAGATTCTTTAACAGAGGATATAACCATGCACAACAATGGATAAGCAATAACCAACCGCAACCACCTCAAACGTGGGGAATGTAAAGTTTTTTATTGAGATGAAATGAACAATGCAGCATTGAGACAAATGAGTTCAAGATGGATTTGTCGGCTTCCAGCATTTAAACCGATACCATATAGTCAGGCTCAGCATGTGAAACTGAATGATATTATTAAAGGAACCATCCCACCTCCACAACAACAACCAGTTGAAAACAAACCAAACTAAAATTTTTTACTGAGATGAAATGACCGAAGAAGTTGAAACGGTAGATTTGACACCACAAACAAAAAGTTCAGAACCATTGTCAAAACCTGTCAAAGAACTTACAGATGAAGAGAAAAATTCAATAATAGAAAGTGCCAGGTCTGGAAATACAAACCCTAACTATAAAGTCACTTTTCATAGAAATGGAACGGCTAGTATCTCAAAAAAGAAACAGACTCTCACAAATAAAATATTGAAGTCTGAAGGAGCTTTCGAGACAACAGATGGAAAAGTTTACTTCACTGACCAACAGTTCATTATAGAACATCTCATTGACTTAGAGTCGAAATATTCTAAATTTTACAACAAACACAAAAAGTTGAAAGGAAAACAAAAACAAATGGCATATGATATTTATGAAGATGTTGACGACACAACTGTTCCTGCAAGTGAAGTAAAGTCAGAGGAACCGAAAAGTGACGAAAAACCGATAGAAGAAGAAAAACCAAAAACTGAAGATAAACCAAAACCAAAGTTTAGTTTCCAAACTAAACCAAGTCAACCTTCATTAGCTGGTATGGGTTGGCGTCAAAGACTTATGGCAGCAGGCGGTTATGTAAAGTAAAGAAAAAAATATTTTTTTATTTTTATAAAAATGCCCCCATATAGAATGGATAGAAAGTCTGCTAGAATAAAAGCAGAGTTACAAAGATATGGTTGGAGAGTTTCGAAGAATTTTAAATATAGGAAGGGAAGACCCATAAAAGTCTATGACAAATTGTCTGGTCTTCGCTACGAAATGGATTTGGAAACAGCACGTGCCAATTATCCAAACAGACTAGAAAGGTTAGAAGAAGAACGTCTTATGGACATGCCTTTCGATGTTAGTGAACCTCAAGTTGAAGGACACGACGGCTTTGCCAGATTCTACTGGAAACATGACGAACAATTGCATCCTTTGAGAAGGAAAAAAGGAAAAGGTGAAGACGCACATGCTCCCATGGAAAGAACAAGATATGCATATGAAAAGTATCGTGAAGTTAGAAGTCAAATTACATCTGGTCGAACCTTTACAGTAAACTTTGACGAAGGAAAGAACAAAGAAGGCTTCATGGGAGTACTTGCTGCAATTCAAGACGGAAATAAGAAAGGACACAATCTCAGATCGACCATAACAGATTTGGATGGTCACATTTACTATGCACATGGCAATGAACAAACAGCCGCAAAACTTCTTGACGCTTTCAAGACTACAAAGAGAGAACAAATGGTTGACTCCGACTCAGACATTTTGAATGCAATTGAAGGAATTGCAAGTGTCAAGTTCGAATGGTACCAACCTAACCCTCAAGCAGTCAGACAACATGCTGGATACTTCCCCTTCATAAATAAGTCTGACATTGACTTGACAAGGTATGGAATTTACAATTCAATTGAAACAATTGTCAACGAACCTTGCATTCTTACATGTCTCAGGAACTCTGGTCTTGTTACAGATGAGAAGATGAAGTATCTTGAGTCATGTGTGAAGACAAGGTACATTCTCAGAGGTCAATTGGCAAAAATTGCACCGTTGGCAAATGTCAATATCCGAGTCAACATACCTACAGCTAAAGGTTCTTCACATGATGACTATGTTGTTGACAAAGACTTACCATGGTTGAAGATTGTAATTGTCCACAACCACTTCATGTTGAACGAAAGTCTTACAAACCCATTCTTTGGTAAAAGTAAGTGCAACATTGTCAGAGCTGTAAACATTCTTTTCGAGAAAGGTTTGTTGGAACCAATTCCAGATGACAAGCTGACAGAAACTTTTGTACCAAAAGACGAAACAAACTTTTCATTGTTAGCAAGACCAAAAGTTGTTCCAGACAAAGTTCTAGTACAAAAGAAGTACACAGTTCCACAAGGGGTTGGTATGTTCGGATACCAACCCGAACCAGAAGAACTTCCAATGAGGTTGCAAGAACTTCAAGATGCTATAAACAAACTTCCATTGAGACATCTAATTGACGTCAAATTGTATTGGAGAGCATCTGAGTTAGGTCAGAAGGTTTTATATGAAACAGGTTGCTTCGACGATGTTTATGAGATAACAGGAGAAGTTTCTCAGAAGATAAGAGACTCACTTGAATTTCCACAAACTGGACCAATTGGTTGCGACAAGTTCGACTCAGATGAAAAGATATACTATGTCGACCTTAACGCTGCGTACATGAGGTTTGTCCAATATATTCCGACTGGAATTCCAAACGAAGATGGTGAGTTCCCGGGAAGGAACTATACAGTTGGAAAAGTCATACAACAACTGTATGATATTAGGAAAGCTTCAAACCCCAAACTTGCAATGACACTCAAATTGCTTATGAATTCGACATGGGGATATTCCATTAAGAAACCTCAAGAGATGAAGAGTAAACATTATGAGAAGGTCGACAACTTTGTTGAAAGGTTTTCTCCTTTTGTTTTGAAGTACGAATTCACTCAAGGTCAAAGTGGCTTAGTAACCACATTAAAACATATTGTCGAACATTGGTCTTACCCTCAGTTCGCAAAGGCAGTCCTTGACAACTACAACAAATTCTTCTCCGAAGTCAAATCCAAAGTGAAGGTTTACTATGAGAACATTGACGCACTCATGACGAACGAAGAAGGCTATAACAAACTCATTGAAATGGGTTTAGTCGGTGAAAAGATGGGCTGTTTTAAGCTAGATAAGGTTTTTTCAGAAGTTCATGTAATATCGAAAAGGAAATATTGGGGCATACTTGAAGACGGCACAGAAATAAAACATTGCATGAAATAAAAAATTTATTTTTAAAAAAGTGACATTTTTTTATTTTATTTGAAATGTACGCTGAGTTTGTTGGAGAAGACCGTTGGGAAACTTGTTTGTTAGATGAGAAATATGAAATTCACTGTTGTGAGTCATTTGAAGTCAGAAACAAAAAGACAAAAAGAGTTTTAAGCGAATGGGAGCGAAATGACGGATATGCTATTATGAAGATGGGTGGAAAACACTATCTTAAACATGTTGTCATTGCAACTCATTTTATACTGAATCCTAACAATTTACCTTTTGTAGACCATATAAACCATATAAGAAACGACAATAGACTTGAAAACTTACGTTGGGTCACTCGTTCTGAAAACAATAAGAACAAAGGCAAATTTGGAGATATTGTATTCGAATTTGTCGACGAACTAGAAGATGAAACAATTGAAATTACAGACTATGGCAAGCATACGTTTGAGTTTTACTACTATAGCGAAGAACAAGACTCTTTCTACTTTTATACCGGCGTAAACTATAGGAAATTACAAGTATATTTTACTAAGGCGGGCTATGCTTATGTAAACACTAGAGATACAGATGGAAAATACGTTCAAATACTTCTTAACAAATTCAAGAAGCTATATGGCATACCATTTTAAAACAATATATTTTTACATATATTAAATGCTTCAGGTTGAAAAACAAAGAACAAAAGTAGCAGATACAAAACCGTTAGACTATATCTTTACAAATGCTGGGAGGACTATTTCAGATGAAGAAATTTCATCCCGAGCATACAGGTTTGACTATCCAATTCGTTGGCTTCAAAGTCCTTCAGATGCAAAGGCAATAGGATTTAGAAGAGTTTTGTTTTCAAATAGAACTAACGCATTTATGTTCGCAGTATATTTTCATGGGCAGTATGAAGGTCCTGATGGTCTAATAGACAAATTTGACGAAATGAGAATCTTTACAGTTCGTTCAGACGAAAGTCTTGAGAAAACTCTAGATGACTTTCAAACTCAAATGAACAAATATTATTGGGAATTTCAAGAAAAATACGACTCTTTACTAAATGGAACATACTATCTGAAACTAGAATATGACAAGATGAGCTCCACCGTTTCATTTCAAAAGATTGAAATTAACCCTCCAAGAGATACAGAGTTTTTATTTTGGAAAGTAGACAAACGTTCTTGGGCACAATTTCTTCGGTTACTAAACCAGAACGAACCATTACCACCAGATGGTCTATTTAAAATTATACTTCCACCAGCAGATTTGATGGTTTATAGAAACGTGTTTGACCCTCAAAATGTTATGTGTCATGCAAGTTTCAGTTCAAGCAACAATAGTTTTCTATGTATTGGTAAGAACCTTTATGACTTTGCTTCTAAATTCTACGAACCACCTAGTAACAGTTTCTCTGACTTTCAAGTTTGGTTCACAACAAATGGTGTGCAACATATTATTCCATTGTACTATGACTTTTATCTCGAATTGTCTTTCATATATAACTACGGAAAAGTGCTGAAAAAGTATTGAATGTGAAGATATTAGAAAATAACATTTTTTCTAACATCGTAGAAAACTCATGAAAACAATTTATTTTTGACACTTTCACAAAAAACATAAAAAAAGTGAGTTAAAATGAGATGTTTACTGAACTGGCTGAATGTCGCCTTCTGTAGTTATAAAGAACGGCTGACCAGAGAAGTGAAGGAGAGACTGAATTGCCAATTTCATATGGGGTAGGGGGTTCTCCTTGTTTGGTATTTTTATCCAAGGACATTTGTTTAGGAACTTAACAAGAGCTTCTCTTTTGGCGTCCTTTATGCCATCGTAGGCTGTCCCGTCTGGTATTTGAATTGGAATTCCAGTCGAAGTCTCGAGCTGAAGTGTAGACCTTCCAGAAATAGTGGTGAACTTGACCTTGGGCTTCATTACTTTGCGCAAGTAGTCTTTTACGCAGTCGTTAAGTTCAATGAGGTAAATTGCCTCGTCAAATCCTTCTGGCATTCCGAGTCCTTCCATCCGACAGGAAAATATTTTCCCGACAACTGGAAAAAATTTTCCGGACAAAGGGAAAAATTTTTCCTTCCGACAGGAAGAACTCTTCCAGTTGTCCGTCCGTAAACCATTCAAATTTTCGAAAATTGAGAACTTTTTGGTCGAACTTCAGAAAATGTTTTTCCTTCCGACAGAAAAAGTTTTTCCTTCCGACAGAAAAAGTTCTTCCATCCGACAGGAAAAATTTTTCCTTCCGACAGGACACAAACGGATGACTGACGTTCCTCTTCCTGAATGCCTTCCAAAGCCAGAAGAACCGAAAGCTGCAGAACCACAACAGTCTCCTCAGCAACCTCAGTTCCAGCAAGTACCTTCGAATTACTACCAATTTCCACCTCAAGGTTACTACCCACCACAAGGCTTCCCGAACTACCCTCCTCAGCCTATGCCTTACTTCCCCAACCCTTGGTTGTTCCAGCAAGCTCCACCCCAGCAATTCCAATTCCAATCTCAATCGAAGAGAGACCAAGACTTCGAAGAAGGTCTGAACCGCTTACGCAAAGAGTATGCTACAGCTCCAATTGAGAGAAAGTTGTTCCCGGACCAAAAAATATAATTTAGGTGAAGAGGTGAGATTTCACCTCTTTTTTCACCTGTTTTTTCACCCTCTTGAATTTTCATGAATTTTATATATTAATGTTTTCGTTAAGCCACTTTGTGCCGTCAGTCAGTCAGTCAGTCAGTTTAGGAAAAACTTTAGAAAGTTGTTGGAAAATAAGTCCTGGGAAGAGTATTATAAGGCATTTTGTGAAGAATATAGCAACCGCCGGAATTCGGACTGTTGCTTTTTATACAAAATTCATGCAGGAAATTCTTGAGTTTTGGTTGAAAGAATACGGTGGAGCCAAAAGTGGCTCGACCTCAAAACAAGCATTTTATGAGCTTACAAAGGGTGTTATAAATGAATTCAAAGGTATTTACATACATCCTGACCTCGTTCATTTTGTTGCTGAATTCAGCAAAAATAATGTTTAGGGTAGATGGTTAGATCTAACCTCATTTCTACCCTCTTGAATTTTCATGAATTTCCTTAAGATAGAAAAAATAAAGTTAGTTTTATTTTTATTTATTTTTTTTATTTTGTATAAAAGAACAGAAATGTCAACAATCGGCACAACAACAATTCAAACAACAGCACCAAACTCGTTAGTCATGAATCCAACATCTATGTTAGTAGAAATGAAAAGCTTCATTCCTTCTTCATTTACTTTCGAAACAGAAATACAAAGAATAAAGCAGGAACTTTTAACAAGTAATTTAGACTGTAGTGCGAAAGATGAAACAAATGAACAGTATCTTTATGAAATGGAGGACCTCATCGACCATTTGCCTAAACTACCTGAAATTCAGCAGCAAAAACTAACTATTCCTGAATTCGATGAAATTGAAGTCAAAGCAACTGACTCAGTAGAAATAAAGAAGTTCATACGAAAGGTAAATTATGAGTTTCTAGGATATCATTGCAACCATAAAGTTATGGACAAAGATTGCGACATGGTATATAAGAACATCTCTGACATATATAAATCGGGGGGTTTAAGACATACGACAACTTTGTTTCATTAGCTGCAAAATGTGTATGGCAGATAAGAGATAAAGATAGAAGAGGTAAGGTATGGAATGAACAGATAAAACCAACTGCTTCAGATTTAAAGAAAACCATTGACGCCTTGGTTGTTTTAGCAGGTAAGGTTTCAGAATATAACGCAAAAATGAATCCGCAATGTTCTAAATGTAAAGCAGCAATTAGGAAATATAACTATTCAGTAAAAGAGATAGAAAGAATGAGAAACGACTATGCAGATTTAAAGAGGGAGGCAGAGAAGCCGGTAGAAAATAAAATGAACATGTTAGAATTTCTGAACAAAAACTATCCAACTGCTGACGATTTCCTATTATCTGATGTCAAGAAGAAGTATAAAGAAACTTTCGGCATTGTTAAAATTTTTGATGTACTAAAAGAAGAAATTGAAGCTACGAAATTGTTTAGGATTTCAAATATACATCGTACAATTCATGTAAAACGCTTGTGAAAAAAAGAGGTGAAAAATTAGGTGAAAAAAGAGGTGAAATCTCACCTCTTCACCTAAAATATATTTTTATTGAATTCAGCAACAAAATTCTGAGTAAAATAATTTTTAGGGCATGTGTCAAACCGTTGAGTTTTCACAAAATTCCAAAAATAACGTTTACCATGTGAAACGTTTATAAAATAACTGGGGTAGAAATGAGGTTAGATATCGGGTTAGATCTAACCATCTACCCTAAAAATTATTTTTGCTGAATTCAGCACAAAAATAATGAATTTCATTAGTTAGAAAAATAAAGTTAGTTTTTTATAAAATATTTTTTATCCGGAATATAAAGACAGTAATGTCAACATCAGAGAACACAACAACAGTTATAGTCCATGAAGCTATAAATGAAGAATATGAATGCATACAATATAACAAACAATTGCGTCTCATTCGTTCAGTCAAAGACGATATGTACCAAATGCAAAGTATAATGAATGCTCTTCGTTCTACAAAGCAAGCATATCATTGGTTTGAAAACCAACAGACAAAAGAACTTTTAGAAGAATTTCCTCATATGTTTGCTACCCTCGGAAAACCGAGGGTAGAGATTCCGTACGAAAATCGCAAGAATTTGGCTCCTGGTTTGAGAGGATATTATGTTCATAGGCTTCTTGTAAATGCTGTAGCAATGTGGGCTTCACCTCGTTACGCTTGTTATATTTTCATGATGTTAGATGAAATTCATAGACAAGAACGTGAAGAGCTAGAGAACAAGCTTGAAGCAAAAGACAAAAACATACAGAAAAGAATACCACGTTCGGTACCAAAAGGAAAGGAAAAGAACTATAAGTATATGATTTATACTGAAGAGATGGAGAAAGAAGAAGACAGTGACATGGTTATGTTGCATTTAGTCAGAAGAAACAACAAGAGCTTTTACGACCTTGCTAAGATTTACAAATCTGACAGAAATTGGTTCTATCGCGAAAACTTACTGATTTCAATGACCCCAAATGAAGATGTGAAACAAATAGTTCAAGATACGTTACCTCAAACACACTATGATATTAAAGGTTGTACAATACTTACATTCAAAGAAGACTTAACATTACTGAAGGAAAAAATAACAGAATATTTTGACAACTTCAAACAAGTAGGGTAGATGCACTCTTTATTTTTCAAGCTTGACCATTTACACAATTTGAACTTTGTTTGCGTAGATATGAATTCTGAAAGAAGTATGAGGGTCTTGTATGACTTTGTACTTCTCCCATAGTTCATGTCTGTCAAACTTACCTGCCATGGACTCTTTCATAAGTTCCATGAAATCGTCTTCGGACAATCCGGGGAAAAGTATTATGTCAGTAAGTACTCTTTTAACATCCTTACTTAAACTCTTTGCTGTCTGTACACAAATGACAACTGAGATGTTAAAGTGTCTGAGCTTCTTAAGAATTCGACACATATCTTGTTCTCTGTTCTTTAACAAAGGATGAGAGGCGAAATCATCTAAGATAAGAAGACATCTATGAGGGTAAGTCTTCCAATCGTAAGATTGCAATTTCTTCGAAATGTATTCTATCTCTTTCTGTTTGTTTCTGAAGTGTTTCTTCTCTAATATTCTCTGCATTTCCTCATTTGGGTCTTTAAACTTCGAATTTATATACTCATTTATAGCATTATACTTCAAAACTCTTCTTTGGTACTTCTTTATCCAATCTAACAACTCAGTATCCTTTATACATACTAACTTAGACTTCTTTATAATATCTTTGAACGAATTGACGGTTTGGTCAAATTGACCAGAAGTCGAACAAATAACAACTAACTCATAGAATGGGTTCTTCTCATCTAGTTCTTGTTGTTGTGCAGCCATTTTAAGATAAGTGAAAGTCTTACCCGACCCAGGTGGTGCAATTAGACCTGTTATACCATTCTGAGCAAATAAGAACTTTTCATGTATAGGCTTTATCTGAGCATTTTCTAACTTCACCTTGTTCTTATTTAAAACATTCTCAAATTTTTTGTCAATGTCAGCAAACTTTTTTTCTAACATATTTTTAGAAAAATTAAAATTTTTATCTTTTAGAAAATGTCTAGCGATTTCGCTATCTATATTCGAGACAAACTTTTTGACAGCAAAACATCTGTCGACCATAAAATCTTACATAGTGTAAACAAGAAAGGTGAATTTGTTCTAAAGTTCTGTTTCTGGGAATATGACAAGAACCATAAAACATTACAAAGAGCAGTCTTAAAATTTGTCAATGACAGACTTGTTGACAGAGATGACGCCGATTGGAAAGATGAAGTCCAACAAAAGTTCTTAGAATGCAAAGAAGACACATGCGCTGTTCTTGAAGATGAAATAGAAAACAGAATAGATGAGCTATTAAAGGACAAAGAACTTTTACATAAATATGGTTCTGAGAAATTTGACATATCTCCACCAGAGAAGAAGAAGAAAGAAAAGAAAGAGAAAAAAGTAGAAGAGAAGAAAGAACCTGAACCAGTTCCAGAGAAGGGGAGATATGACATGTAAAAATAAAATTTTATTTTTAGAACATTTCTGGGTCAATGTCAATGTTCTCTTCCTCTTTAGGAGTAAACACTGGCTTAGACTCTAATAGCTTTTTACCCAATTTACCTTGAACTTCTACAACTTTAGACTCATAATATTCATAGTCGTCTGTCTTCTTTGGTTCATAAGGTATAACAAGTTTGTATGCTTTGCCTTCTTTAAGGTTTGAGAACCTTCTGTCAAAATTTTCTTTGACTGTTAACAAACCTTCTATGTTCTAAGTCTTCAAATTTCGCACCATTTTTAGTCACAATAGCAAACTTAACTGGTTCGATGTTCCAAACTTTGCTGAATGAAGACTTTTCAAAATGGTAGAAGAAAACATTCAAATATGTGAATGGGTCTAGTTCTTTCTTTAAGTCCTGACATGTACTTGTTTACTGAGATGAATTTCGTCATCTTTTCTATCGGATAAAAAAATATTTTTTTTAAATTTACTCAGAAAAAATTTTCTTTGTATATACACCATTCTGAACATCTAAAAGACTTTTGACATTTGCCAAGAATGTACGTTTAGAAGCTGCCATATAACCATATTCTTGACAATATTGTTTATATTCATCATATAAAGACTTTTCATCTAAACACTCAAAGTCGCTTTCTTCTATGAACAGTTCATATACACTCTTGTTTGCTTCTAACAAATGTTTGTCTCTCTTCGGTATGTGGAATTTGTCTTGGATTGAACTTAGAAATATCTAATGTCATGAAATATGAGAACAAGTGGTTGTAAAAGTCAGATGTCAAAGTTTCTGCTAAGTCGTCAAATATTCTGTATCTTGCATATGAGAATCTGACGTTCTGACAACTACATATCTTCTGTCAGAACTTTCTAACTTCATCGGAACAGCATTGTTTGAAACCATAATGAAGTTTGCAACATTTTCACAAACTCTTTGGTCTTTATACTTTCTTTCAACAACTCCAACTTTTGTCTGTTATAAGACTCTTCAAAAGCATCTGAGTTCAAAACTTTTGTTGTATCTATACTTTGAAGTTCATTGCAAACTATAAGTTTCATATTCTCTATTGAGGAGTTAAACTTGCCAAGATGTTTTTAAGTTTGTCATATTAGGGTTCGAATAACCTTCTAACAGTTTGCACAAAATATCTGTAAAGAAAGTATTCTTACAGTTCCTTGTTTTCCAATTATAATGAGAGCAGTTTCATTTTTAGCACTTGGATGTTGTAAGATATTTGCAAACCAACATAAGATATACTCATAGACTCCTTTCGTTTCCATTGCATATAATTTCTTTGACATGGTCTAACCAAGCTTCTATAATACTGTGTTTCCATTCTACTTGTTCGTATTTATATCCAGTGAAGATAGAATAGAAGTTTGGAGAAGGTGTATAGAACTTTATACCTCGAACTGAAAAATCTTCTAACTTTGACAATAGGATATCCCAAGCATCTAACATCTTCATGCCAACTTGTACGACTTTTATTTTCTTAAGTTTCTGTCTACATTCTTGTTCTGAAACTATTGTTGCTCTTGGTTTGTTAAATACAACATCCCATTCTTTCATGACATAACATTCTGGGGCAGAGTCAACATAAATGACTAAACGTTTCAAATTCTCGACTGCTTTGTTATAGTCTCTAAATGGACACAATTTTGAATGCTTGGAAGTCATAAAAATCTGAAACATCTATTCTGTACATTTTTATAAAAATAAAAAAATAATATTTTTTTATTCTTGACTTTGTTGTTCCATTTGTTGCATTTGTTGTTCTTGAGCTATTTGTTGTTGAAGTTGTTCTTGTAATACAATACTTTCACCAGTTGCATCTTCCAATTCGAAACTTTCTGCCGTCATTGACAAATACATAGGACATAAAAGTTTTACAGGAACAAAGTTTGCGTCAACTAATGTCAACGTTATACTTGCCAAAGTGTTTGAGTTCACTAAGGTTGAAAATTCTGCATTCGAATGAACAATAGGCAAACCAGCAGAGAAAGTATTGTTTATACGCATAAGTATCTTTTTGTCATAATAGTTTCTGTCGACATTCGAATAACACTTTGAACCTAAGTTTGAAACAATATATAAGATTGGTGTGCTTAATGTCAATGGAATAGACAAACCTTGTATTACACCTTTTCCTGTTATAGGAAACTGTTGGTAGTAAAAACCAGAAATAAGTTTTGTATTATAGCTCATATCGTTTATAGTAAACTCAGTCGGACATCCAAACATAATGAAACCTGTTCTAGTTGCAGCACATGTTACACCCGTACTTAAAGTATTAAATAAGTCAACAAAACCTGTTGGTGGTATATCTGAGTAAGTATCTTCAAAGGAGTATTTTTTACCATTCACAACAATAAAGTCTTCTGGTGTCAAAAGAGCAAAACAGGCTTTAGTCGTCATTGTGTTTAAGGTTAGTTTACAATATCGTCCTTGAGGACTTTGTAAGTTTGTTGTTA